AGTAGTTTACGTAGTTTAGCAGGTTGTGAATGAAAATTTTACTATTTATAGCAATAGTAGAAATCTACAGTAAAACAGGAACTTGTGAATACTGCAATGAGCGCCTTTGGAAATTGCATCTAAAATGGATAAAAATGGATAAAAATGGACGTGAGCTTATACGCTTGACCGTCTTTAGTACTCATAGTCACGTGAGCACAGAACAAGTTAGATCAAGTTTACGAATGTTTTTATTAATTAATGAACTATATATTGCGATGCAATATAAGACAGTGGCGGCGCAATATATACTTAACATACTCTATAAATAAATTCTGCAGGAACGAATATGCCTGAAATGCTCGTTTGCTCATAGATTTTATCATTCATGATCTATTCTCAAATTGAATGCCATTTATGCTTCAGTAACGATGCTGGAAACACCGTGTATTTAATGATTTCTTATTAATTAATGCCTATCTCTGTCTATGGAGCTACGATCCTCATTTCTTATTCTGTGTTTCGTGTTTTGAATGATATACGTACGTGTAAATAACAATTAAGCACATTTTTATTTACATTTGATTATTTACTGAAAGTCCCTTGATATCAATTTTACGATGAAATTTAAATTCACGTTGGGAACGTGAAGGAAATAGATCTCTGAAGAGCCAGGATGAGCAACAAAAGTACGTGGATGATGAAATTGCTCGGGAATGTTGTACCCTCGTATATGTAGAAAAAAAGATTGCGCCAGTGCCAGATCGTATCATGTAGTATAGCGTCGGGACTGAAAGGGATTAACTGCCGACAGCTTTAAGTTATACAATAGTTCTAGCACTAAGTTCGTCTCTGGCGTTTTTTAACAATATGATTCCAAAGATTGAAAATAAAAATAATGAATAGTCTATTATCTGCCATTTATCGAGTAATGTGATTGCTAATAGATGAAATCGAAATATAAAGCAACTCTAACGGATAATTGAATGATAAAGTTTGACCGTTAAGTAATAGGATATTATTGCTCAAAGTTACCAGGATGACAGTTTAAAACTGTTCAATTTTTCTTTGAGAATCAATCCATTAAGTGATTTATGAAGCAATATATAGCAGTCTTTACTTAAGATCTTAAACAAAAATGGCTAAAATCGGTCTTGAAGCGAAGGCTTACATGATCAACTTCGAAATACCATAAAACTATACTTGCACTGAACTATGATTTACTGCAAAATTTGACCCAAATTAAAGTCATTGACATGCGAATAAAGTTTAATGAATTGGTATCGAAAGAAGTCTCCAAACTGATAGTATAACATGGTTCCTATTGAGTTCTAGCTGTTTTTATTCTGAACGTCTGTCATTTGTATAGACGCACTGAATATTTTATACAGTGCAATAATTATAATAAATAAGCAACAAAGAAAACCGTACTGACGACCGGTGTTTTAAGTTCATCCTATTTCGGATAGCTACACACGGTGTTAAGCGTATCCTAATCACCTATTTTCAAATAAAAGTAGGATACTATAGAGCTAACAAACCTCTTTGCTTCCACATTGCATTTTGAGTTTCTGCAAAGCCTTTCCTAATTGCATCGACAACAGATGGAGGTGAAGCAGAGTGAAATCCTCGCTGCTTTTTAATAGCTTTCCATAAGTAATCTCTAGCAAAAGTAGCAGCATGGCTACCACCATGACCATCAAACACAGCGAAAAACGCTGGACCACGGAGACTCCCTTCTTTGGCGTTCTCGAATACCACCGAAGTCTTGTCTTCCATGCCTTGGCGTGCTCCTTGATTTGCTTCACCGTATACGCGAATTAAGAAGCGAGATGTTGATTTATCGGTTTCAAACTGCATTATCAAAGTAATGATTATGATATTACAATGTCTAATATCTTGGTTTCTTTCGCTATTGGTAGTAATGGATGCTCAGTTTACCGGTAAGAATAGAGTTTTATATTGCGTTGATATATTGTATACTTGTATATACCAAACATAAAAGTATGACAGTTTATGATATTTCGTTTTGTACTAGCGTTGATTATAATTACTGCAGAAGATGATGTGCTGCAATGCACAAGCACAAATGATAGCAATCGACTTGTAATATACAAGAGATAATCTTGAATTGACGCCTTTCACGTTTTAGAATAACTGCGAGTACGCGTATCTTGATTTAACGAGAATAGATGGGCAATGAAAGCAGAATTCGTCTATCGGTTAATCTCCATAACATCCATGTTATAAGTTATTGAATAAACTGTAATGCTGTACAGTAGTTTCATGATCTAAGTATCTTTTTGGGGGCTTGTTGTACCACCACAGAATACTGATTACATATTATTATTAAGTAATTTAGCCATGATTTTTCCTTGAATGTCTTTATTACTGTGACCAGAAAATCGATGGTGTTGAATAGCTAATTTGGTATGAAAAGTACAGTGCAAAAAACCAAAGTCTTTATAACATATGGCAGTCTCTAATCAATTGATGATGCCTACAGCCACTTTATTTCAAGCTTACCAATATAATTACAAAACAGTTACTAATGACGAGATAATTATTTGTAAGTTTACTGCAGGAGTAGTAGGTACTCTAATAGCTGTTATTTTTTTTTTTTTACTGGACGCTTACTCATTAATTATTGTCAATTGAATTACTTAGCACGTCAACATGACTGTATAAGGTTACAGTCTGCACATCAATCAAAGCTGTAAGACGTTTTCAATTTTGGAAGTATCTCTTGACGTGATTGCAATGTTCACAATTTGATGTACTTTTAATCGATTATTACTATTATGGTATTTTGGACAATGGATGAGTTTCGATACTCTCTCTCTGATGCTTTTACTTGAAGTTTCTTGTAACGGCGATTTTCATCAGGTAGTCTTTACCAAGGCAAATTTGATTTTCAGCCAAGCAGGAAGTGATTAAGTCGTTTTTAGAATACTATCCAACCTGGATTACATTGGATGTACTGTATTTAGTCCCGTTGTTTTACCAAGGACACCTTGCACAAGAGGAAAAATAATTTGGACGTGTTTATATTCGATGGCTTGACTGTTTATATAGGCATGAGTACAATGCAGTGCCATAGTCACCAGTCCTGTACTGTACAATACAGTACGGTATAGGACAGGATAGTTGTCGCATACAGTCTATAGTACAACGACCAAGACCGAACACCACTCGATCTCCACTTCCAATACTCTACTGTAGCAATTGTGACTCATGCAAATCGAGGAGTCGTATTGTCCTGTTTAAACATGTTCAATGTTTACTGTTGTCTGTCGCTGTGCCTGTGCTGGCTGGACTGCAGTTCATGATGCACAGTTTTACTGTAGTGATGCAGTCATATTGTACACCACAATAAGTTATTGCTGCTAAAGTACTACCATCGTCATTTCATGACCGATTTCTCGATACTGCCATCAGGGACTTCTAAGACTAGTATTACTATACGTAGTCTTTAGAAATCTCTGCTGCCATACTGTACATTTTCGGATCGGATTTCGGATTTTATGTAGCACTTTCAATCGGATTAAATGTTTAGTCGTAGTGGGGTTACAATACACTACATCAGACCTCTGCAAATGAAAGTTCAAAGTAAGCCCAGGTAAGCCTAAAAGTTCAAAGTAAGCTTAAGCCCCAGTGACAGCAAATTTCAGCCAGCCCAATGCATACTGTACAGTAGGTCTGCTGAGTGTACAGTACACACTGCACTCAGTGTACTGTACACTGTACACTGTAACCTACAGTACTGTACAAGAATCGACTAGCAGTTCAGTACAGTACCGTACAGTATCAACTACGTGTACAGTACATGGGAGATTGCCGGAGAACGCAGATTACCGCCTGGGTCTGGAAGGCTTACTGTACCGGACGCACGTAACGTTTCAAGGTGAGCTCTTGCTAGGTTGTGTTGCATGGAGTGAACACGAGTTGCATGACTTGCATCTCAACGAATATTGAATGACTCAAGCTTTGATGTGACACAACCGAAACCTCGACAGAATTACGTATCTACGCTAGGAAACATCATGGCAATTAATTTAAACCATGAAGTTTTACCACCCGAGCTAATAAATTCAGTACAAGAGTTGAATTCTTCCATTGACAAAGTTGATAAAATCTTGGATCAAATTATTACCAACCAATTTGCTGATAATATTGATAAGGTAGGTTGGTATATAAACATTGAACACTTGTGGTGGACATCCAAGTACAGTACAGCATGATATGATGCTGCCTTCTACAATTTAAAATGAATGAATGAATGAAGAAGATTTATGTAGTGGTTGTCCATGGCTGATGCAGGGACTTGTCAAAAGTCCCTGACTGATGTTCATGGCAAATCATGGCATGGTACAATCAGTCCAATTTTACTTCTCTATCATTCCGTATTTTCGTCAATACTGCATGCATACCTACTAGACTGACCTGAATCTTTACACCGCATTAGTGCTAAACACTAATATTCATATACTGTACCGTACGCTTATTAGAAAGAATCTGTGCTGATTGTCAAACTTCACTATTTGTAATTGTCACCTGCACGAAATGGATCATTTATTCGTATGTGAATAATGAATGATCAACATCAAATTAACCTTCAACCTTGATTTCGTTTTCTTTAGCTCGAACTATTGGATCAGGCGAAAGCTTACTTGGTGGTAACTTATGCCATGAATTCACTTTATTGGAGTACGTAAAGTAGTGAACGACATGATAAAGCAATAAAATCATCGCTTAATTTTAACGCCCACTGTTTCTCTGCACTTTGCATAGACTAAAGTTTCTACTGTACATACGAATACACGCGTATTTTACTGGCATAACCTAATACAGCTGACCTTAAATCATGAATAATTATAATTATTTCCAATACACTCAAATTCGTGTGATTCATTATATAAGTAATCTATGATATGGTAGATAGCTATTCTGATACATTACACTCACATTAGAAGGAGTGTATTGATACTACAGTATCTTGGTATTAAATAGCATCTTGATAAAAGATAATGCGTAACGGCAACGTTTTCACTTGAATATTTTGTATTGATCAATATAGTCTTAATCTCTTTTATTAGTGTACTTGAATACCCAAGGCATTTCACCCAAGGATCATCCTGTCAAACAGGAACTTGTAAGTTTATGATACTTACTACGCTATAATCAGTTACCTTATATTGTTGTACATGCTTGAATATAATTAATAAGAGTAAAATGAAATTGGTTACGTTTCTAAATCACAATATTCTCCGACCAATTTTGTTTCGATAGTGTAATACTATATTTCGAAATAAAGGCTGAATATTTAATAATAGGAAGTATTATGTTGTCGCTAGGATCGAATACGAACATACATGAATAAAGTACAGGCTCTCTACGACAAAAGAAAGGGTACTCAGACACTTCCTTTGATTATATTTATTTTCCATTAGCAATGAACGTAATTTCACTCTTACTAATCTTTTGTGAATGTACGGTAAAAATACTGCTTAATGTTCATTATGTAACATACTACAGTGATAAAATTATGGCTGCTTGAAATGCATATTAATTTTAGCTATTCCACTCTGTATTCTATATGAAACTTAAGTATTAATAGTACAGTATTGCAAGTAACATAACTTTTACTGAATAGATTAACCAAGCCTTTGTAAAGTTAAGAATGACCAAAAGTAGCGTTTAAGCATTATTACATGTACATATGTGAATGGATTCTGAAATTAATTTTAGCGAAAAATCGTTATGCTCTTTTAGCAATGAAAGTAGATAAAAAAGCTGCAGGTCGAATTATAAAAAGTGCACTAAAACAGCCGATTAAAAAGGATGAAGGTAAGTGATATACGTCACTAAATAGATACGACGTAATAGATTCTAATGAAAAAATGAACGTCTACAGAAAGTACGCGTATGATATTACTGTTCTGTAATAGTCATTTAGGAAGGACGTACAGTATATTAAATTGATGATTTTGTCTAATACGTAGTGAATATGTTGTAAATATTAATTGAATGCAATTCATCACTTAAAATTTTCGAAGCAGATAATACCAAATCTTCTCGTAAACTTGAAAAAGTACGCAAGGCGGCGGCAAACAAGAAAAGGAAGATCGATCATTCCACATCATAGAAATAACTGGTTCTGTTCTACTTTCAATCTAAACTAGCTTCACTAGTCAATAAAATATAAGTATGTGTATCTGAATTCTACTACATTGTATACCTTTCATTCACACATTACTTATTGCGAATTCTGTTAGATGTAAAATCCTCTAAACACGTACTAGGTTAATATTTTTATTTAAAACTAACTTACAACAGATTCAGCACTCTATGCATTGGTACAAAATTCGATGATTTTTATGGTACAGATGCATTAATCAATAATTATTATTATACTGCTGAAATTGCAATATATTTGGCGATAATATTTTTTAATGAAATTCGTAGCTTGCATCTGTTTCGTTGCAATACTGCAATTACTGTGTATTGATTAATTATTATATTACTACTATGCATGCTGTTACAAATAGAGACCATTTCTGCGTAGTCGATTATAATCATCGTAGATGAGTAATATACACAGTTAACTTAGAAGATAAAGCTCCTTAGTAGGTTGTTACTGTATAACATTCAAAGCAACATCACAAAATATAAACATTTCCCGATTTTCAAATTTATGACTGCATTTGTTTAATTAAGCTGGATTTTATTAAGTCTATCCAAGCATATCAAAATTTTTGTCACCTTAACAGCTAGCATTGAGAATAGTTGAAAAAGTATGTGAATGGTTTCGAAATCAATAAAATGTATTGATAAAGACATACAAGTATTGCTGTAAAATCTTAAACTGATATTTACCTTTACATCTAGAAATAAAATGCCTGCGACACAATAGTATTGGTGTTGCGCTGGGTAATAGTATGCCCACAGCAATTCGTCATTGTTTGTATCTCGTAACAGCATTATAACGAACTGAGATCTTCTAACATCAACACTAATAAGGCATCATTATTGGAAGGTATTAAAGGATCAGTAAGTTTACGCTAAAAGTTAGCATAATGAGTGATTATATTTGCCTGCTTTACAACTTTCATAGAGAATTTCTTAATATTAATCATAGTTTATAAGGATACCAATTACATTATAGGATTGTTGATGCTAATACAGTTATTTTCAATTATTTCACTTAGATACATACTGTACGGAACTTAATTAAATATTGTCGATATCAATATCATTGTCGTCTTCCTCTACTTTCTTCTCTTCCGGTACCTCATTGCTATAAACAATATCGTCCTCTTCCTCTGCAGATTCTTCTTCTGCTTCCTTTAACCACTTAATGAAAGGTTCCGCTTTTTGACGTATTTCAGCACCAACCTCTTTGCTTATGTATTTCTTTGAAAGCTGTTATTAAATTAAAGCAAAAGTTATCTTATTCGTTCCAATAAGGTATACTATAATTTCTCCCAATTACTTAGACGACAGTACAGACTGTACGATTCTAACCTTGGTGTACCAATGCAATAAGCTTTCCTCTTCTACATAGTCTTGATCGTACAACGTATGCAAAATTTGAGTCACCTTAGACATGAGCTCTTGAGGGTAAGACTTTCCAACCAATATTTCGAAGCCGTTCATTAAGTATCTTTGACATTTCTTAGCGTACTTGCGATCACCAACAAACTAGATAATACAATAATTTTCTTTAAATGCGAAATGCAAGGATAACATGCAAGCTATTATGCTATCAGTATCTATCGATAACATACACGTTATTCTATGTTATCAATATCTATCGCATTTACGTAGTAAATACATTATAAAGGTTTACGAAAACGAACCCGTACGAATAGCTGCCGATAGAGCTTTATTTGAGATATAAAATCGGCGTTAAATAAGAGTTCGCAGAGGATTAAAGTAGCCTTTTCAGGAACATCTAATCTTTCAGCTTCTGCGAATATGTTATTTTCTTTTCCAATAATCTTATTCTCTTTCTTCAATTTCTGTCATTAACACACATTTTAGCATCTCAAACAATTCTATTCTATTATAATCACCAATACGTACACCATACACAGAATAGAGCATTTCATGAGAAAATAGCAAACATACCTCAGCATATGTATAAAAAATGTCTAATCGCTCCTTCTCTGATCGCTCTAAATCGTCGCTTAAAGTCAGGCCCTTGGCAGCGGCTGATAAATTTTCCATCCTTTCCTTAACTGCAGCCTCAGATGTATCAGCACTCCAGTCATCACGGTCTGAATGCTACAAGAATAATATGTTTATAATACAGTAACCTCCATAATATAGTAAAATTAATATCATCGATGTTAGCTATAGATTCATTGCTATACACACATACCCCATTAACAGACGTATTAATCGAGACATTGACAGGTGCATTATCAATCGAAGTGGTTCCTGCTGAAGTCTTACTAGCAGCCTTCTTCTCATTGCGCCCCTTTTTCCCTTTCCCTCTACAATTAATAATGATTCAGTTTAGAATGTGATCTAGCATAACTATTAACTGGATCAATATTAGAATTAATATTCAGACTTTTTGGTAGATTCCGAATTTGGCGGGTACTTTAATATAAAAGTAGACAGTTTATGTCGTAGATCGATCAGGCCATGATAGCCACATGCAAGACAAGATGTCTTGATCTTCTCCTTTCTTGAATCGACTGACTGTAAAAACAGTAATTACTCTGAGAATATAGCGGACATAAATACAAACTGAGGTAACGACTACCATTGAACACTTACCAAATCAGTTTCAGGATTTTCACATTCTGGACATAGAACAAACTTCTTAATAAAGCCGTCTAGTATTTCCTGCAATTTCGACCCATCGTGAGATCCATTGACGATATAGCGATCATTTTTACTATCTAATTGAGTTTGAGCTCCAAGTTCACAACCAAAATACTTCGTGGGATCTAATTCGTGTTTCATTCAATTGGCAAGAGCTTATAAGTACTTGATAACACTTTATCCTTTAAATTCATAAACAACACAGTATAGGAAAATAAAATTTGAATAGCTTTACATGATGGAGGCCTTTGCAATGATTTAGCAATTTCAGTCATATTAACTATGACAGTTTTAATTCCATTGCCTTTGCCTTCAACCTAGGTGTAAAATGACGATAGTAAACTTTACGTACAAATACATGATCAAGTTACATCACTAGAATATGAAATTCAAATTCTATAAATAGGCTTCACTAACACAGACTCAATGTCATTCGCCATTACTGTTTTTTACCTTAGCTATGATGCGAGGCATTTTATACCGATAGTATGGATCGTTATTGGCGCGATTGATATTGATAGACATTTTTGAAAATTTTCTAAATTTTCGTAATAGGTGGCACCGTTATGATTGGTATTAATGGTAATTTCCGATGGGATAACTGATAACTCATTAAAATACATATGCTCATTAAGGTGAACAGGAGTATTATTTTCCTTTCTGGCGTTTTCCGCGTAGGCTGTTAAAAAAAAAGGATACAAAACAATTAGGCGTTAGTAAACAGCATTCCGCATCACTTTAGCGCTGTACTTCTACGCAAAACGACGTTCATCACTCAAAAGGTAATAACATTAAGATTACTAGTCAATCAAATCATCCATCATTTTCAAGCGATGTTGAGAAAGAGGTACTGTAAACTATCGTCATTTAAGCACTGTATCAGATCATAAAAACATTTACCAATACCTACTAAATATCAAGTGCCTAGGCTACTACTGTACATCAAAAGATAAGACAACTCTCATTCAATACCACCCTTAAGTAATGCAGTAAATCACAACTTTAAATTTCGAATCGATGGGATATTCCTATAGACTTGTCAACCAAACTGATGAAACGAAATTGAATTTACTCCACGGACATATGTTATGCACAATTTCATTACTGTCAATAAAGCAACGTAGCTCTAGTTTGTGCTCATCAGTCTACAGTACCATTCCTAATATAGGTTAGCTTCACTCGCTGTTTTAATTAAAATTGATTAGCTAGTAAGTGATATGAATAAAAAGTGTCGCAATACAGTAGTTAGCTTATCGCATCAATGGGATTCTACCCGTAATGGCTAGAGAAACTAACAGCAATTTAATTACAGTCGCTAAGCAATAATTGTTTACGACTGATCCACGTGAACAGCCAAATGTATGGCAGATATATCACTTTGCCCTAGCAGTACAGTACCGTTCGTACAGTACTGAGAAAGAGTACAGCAACCAATACAGTACAGTATTGTATTCCTTACTGTTGAGTAGTGTATAGTATATTGTATCTATGATATGTAGAGTAAATCACTATACGGCAAAAATCGCGTGTTTCCGATAGAGAATTATGGTACGTAGCTGCTCTTCGGCATTAGAATTACCCGGGATTTCGTGTAAAATAGCATAAAAATCCTGCTAAGCAAGGAATGCGACAGAAATTAAGAGCAAACTTAAACCCAGTCTCATTTTACCACCATGAAAATGAAAATAATCAGTAGACAATTATAAGTTTAATGTGTTGCTTATTCTCTAGTTACTGGCATGATTAAAAACTGTTTAACTGTATTGATTTCAAGCACGGATTGTCGATACATAAGCTTGAAAGCGACTGATTTTATTCCATTTTGAAGTCCTTGGTGTTAGCATAATCATCAAATTTCGACTCTATTATTACAGTACAGGAACACATGATCATGCTTTGTGGAAAGATACCATCATGGTTGTAGCACTTTGATACATTGTGTAGCGTAGTCAAAACCAAAATGACCAACACAATCGTATACCGTACAAGGAAAGTAAAACTCCAGTAATATTGCAGCCAGATCGGTCTTCCATCGATACTTGCTTTCGCTATCAAGTTCAACATGCTGCCCTATACATAAATGAGTCAATCTGATGTAACAAATTGTAATAACATACGCACATCTGCACATCGTTCCCACTTCGCAGCTATCTTAATCTATATACAATTAGACTGAAAATCAGTGATTGTCCCTTCTTGGTCATACTGTGCGGAGATCGTATGACATTTTACTAGAAATCAACTTTGTCATCATAACACATAGCAGTTGAACCTGTAGTACAACAGCAAAGGAAATTTCCAGGCAAATCAATTCAAAATCGAAATGACTAATTTCTTGGTGCCCCCCCCCAAACTGAACAGTGAAACGCTCAATAGAGTATACTACATCAAACTTATTTTGTAACTATCATTTCACATTGGAAGCAATTATCCATGACGTACAACAACTTGACAGTAAAAGCGCGACAGCACATTTCACTGCAGTAAAAAAAAGAAAATAACGTGATCCAAATTGTCTCTAGTCTATCATAGACACAATGCAATAAATCACCAAAAGAACTACCTCGAAAAGAAAGCAAAATAAAATCATTTGACTATCAATCTTGCGTTGAAGAATGTAGGAAAGTTGTCAGTGAGTAGGTGAAAAAAGATAGAAATCCCTCTTACCTTTGAAGAACTTCATACATAAAGTGAACTGCAAAATCCTCACTGATTCGCTTGAAGCAAGGTACCCGTCTATTATACTGGTGCTACTGGCTACAGTCTACAGTGCACAGTATAACACTGCAGTACTGTATTGCACGTACTGTACACTGTAGATATGGACCAATTTCCTACGTTGGCCGTCATATCGGGTCGGGCAATATGGACGTTTCCCCGGCCCTCCCCCGGCCGGAGGTAGATTCTAGTTTATTGTTCAATCACTGTCAAACGTGCATGATATTAACAGTGACATCCTTTTAGCTATCGCCTTACCATCCGTAGAGTATAGTCTCTGTCAGTATAACATATACTGTCTATTTTTGATCACTGTCAAAAATGTGTATGATATTAACAGTGACATCCTTTTTGCTACCGAGTTGCATGTATAGAGTACAGGCCTGTCAGTATACGTAGTACTGTATACCTATAATATACGCCTATGATGTCTATTGTAATCACTATAAAATGTGTATGATATTAACAGTGACATCCTTTTTGCTACCGAGTTGCATGGATAGAGAGTACAGGCCTGTCAGTATACGTAGTATACCTATAATATACAGTACGATTATGCTGTCTATGGTTTAATCACTATTCAATGTGTATGATATGATATTAACGGTGACATCCTTTTTGCTACCGAGTTGCATGTATAGTCTATAGAGTACAGCCCTGTCAGTATACGTAGTATACCTATGCTGTCTATCGTTTAATCACTATAAAATGTGTATGATATTAACAGTGACATCATTTTTGCTATCCAATTGCCATCCGTAGAGTACTGTACATTGTATAAGTGCCTGTCAGTAGAATATTATACAGTACAGTCTATTTTGAACCGTTGTAAATCGTGTACGATATTAACAGTGACATCATTATTGCTATCGAGTTGCCATCCGTAGAGTACTAGTAGTACAGTGTACAGTCCTTGTTTGTCCGAATCATTCATTAGCTCATTTATACTACGCCAGTTGAACATCATCACCAACAGCACATATGGTACAAATCCCTAGCAAAAAGGATGTCAACGATACAAGCCTATGGAACTATACTACTGACTACAGAGTAGTACAGCATCAAATGCCAGCTGCGGGCTCCTGACTATAAGTATTTTATTAATTCAAAAAATAATGTCGCCCCTTGTACAGGAGAAATTGAATTGGTAGAGAAAAGTTCGTACTGTAGCTACGGTGCAAAATTCATGACACTACGGTGCAAAAATTGAGGTGGCGACGTTATTATGATTATTTTGGGGGGATACTTGTATATTAAAAAGGCAAAGAGAGGAAGAGACAGGCAACGGCCGTTTATTGCAAAAGAATAATCAGGCTAACTATTTTCTGCTTATTCTATTATGCTAGCGACTATCACTGAAACCGTATACGACACTGTACAGTGCAGTGTACAGCTAATCTGGATGACCATTGCGGACAGTATAGTGTATCATTTTAGCACATATATCTCTCTTTCCTTTTCTACCATGATAGTACCAGTTAGCAGTGCTAGTATAGTACAAACTCTGCCACTGTAAATGCTCACATCCAGTGGCATCCTATTTTGTCAACATTGGTGGTCGCTGGTCCTAGTCAAAGACCTCTTGAACTTGAAAGTTGCAAGTTGAAAAGTCCATGCTACCGTATTGTTGCAGCCAGTGCAGTACTGAGTACAGGTATCAAATGCTCACATCCGGTTACATCATAGTTTGTTCAGACTGCAACCGAATACGGTACAACACTACCACTGTGGAAATCTCATTGAATCCATTCGATGATGTCGTTTATTGACTCTGGTGGAAAACGGTGGGGAAAAAAGGGAAAATTTGCATAATTTGGATAAAAATAGATCATATTGTAAATCATTCCAATCTGCATTCTATTGAGGATTCCAAGTGAAACACTTACCACATAAACTGTGTACGGCGACGTGATCAATAATCGATGATATCGAATTCATACTGATAATATAATAGAAGCTTGCTGACATATTAATCGCGATAATGGCAAGAAATTGGGTAAGTTGATCAAAAATAAGTATAGGGTATCTAGATATAGCTCTATTAATAACAACCCAACCAAAGATAAAAAGTCTTATGTACGGGATAGTCCGTAGTCGGTAGATCAAGGATAATTAACGACAGCCAGTGAAAACGATGGATACTGTTGATTATTAGCAATAGGAGAGACGAAAATTATAAATCTTAATCTTAAAATATACAAGGACAACTATACAGTATTATAGATTAACGTAGATAATAAAGATAAGCGCAACTTTGTTATCCAAAAAAACTGCTTGGCCTTGAATTAAAAACAGTTTATACTACTGTAGTAATAGAACAGAATAGAAGGTTAGTGTTTTTAATAGCATAAAAAGAGTATCTCTATATTGCAGACCAAGGGCCAATGAAAATTGGCTTCATTTCATTGTCAAATAACTTGTTAACTCTGAACTGAAAGTGATTTATGCTGTAGCACTGTAGTAATGACGGAATTGAAAATAACACACTAAGCATAACTGTATTATAGATTAAGGCAAGATGAAAATAAATACCATTTATGGTAGAAATGTGTACCGTATATATATATACTGACTAAGCTGAAAGCGATTTAAAACGCTTTAGCAATTGCAGAATGGAAGATTAGCATCTTTAACTTAATACAGCAGAATACACGAATGAGATGACCTATGGGCCACTAGGAGGAGACTGGTATTCTTCTACAATCCATAGATGATCTTATTAGCGGTGAAAACATGCGTAAAAACATTACATAATTTCAAGTATAAAAAGTAGTTTGTCATCGTTTTAGTACTTTAACATCGTAGACATGGAAGATTGGCAGTTCAATAACTTCACAAACTACACGTTCAATTGAATACTATATCAATGCTCCATGACATAGAATTATGCTATACGCATGTTAACAACATTATGCTACATATACTGTACTTTGAATTCTATACATGATTAGGCTGCAAGTGTAAGTAACTTATTGATTCTATTCCTCAATATATAAACATTTACATGAAAAATAAAAACTGTTGATTATGGATTGTATTTATAATGCAGATCCCTGGCTTGCTGTTGAGCCTCCTTTTATCCTGTTTATTTCTCTCCGTTTCTACTGAAGATGCTATACCAAACGAAGTAATAGAACAATTTCTTACATCAAATCACCATAATGAGACAGATTTTCAAAATGTGCAGGTAAGAAGACACTGACGTAGAAGAGAATTGGGGTCATTTTTAGATGCAATAATACCATGATAGTGACGAAAATGGTACTTACCAATATTAATAGATTAATATGAATCAATGCTTGACTTTTAAATTGTACACAACGTTGCATAACTAGCGCAGCGGAAATAATAATTAAAACTTTATAAAGTACAATTTAAGAAATAAGGCCAAAAAAATTTACAGGTTATCAATAATTAAATGGTAAGAATCGTTTCTAATAACGCCAAAATAAAGCTTTCGATTTACCTGTGGTCCTCATTGAAATAAAAATTTTCTTTTACACAGTAATTCACTTATACAATAATCCAATATACACTTCTATTGTCTGGTAGCATTCTAGATGATCCATTTGTAAATGTCTCATCGACTGTACTGCAGTAATAGAAAAGCAAAAAATTTCATAGAAAGAGTACGGTTACCATTGGGATCTATACCGTGATCATATTCACTGATGATATGTTGCCAATAAAAATTGGCAAATGATGCAAAACGTCATGCATAAACAATTTACATGGTAGTACTTGTTCTAATTTAATGGATATACCATATACCGTAGTCGTTTTAAGTAAGGTAGCATTAGCTATAAGTAAATCTGCACCATAAGTATCGATAACCCGTTGCATACTTACTCGTAAACTATCCAGTAGCTATACTCCTGCTAAATCAATTATTATTTTTCACCTTCTAGTGCGATTACATCCATAAAATTAATGCGTCGTTTCAATGCCTATTCGTAAAACGAAATATCGACTGCAATAACATCGATGGATTAATTAACTACTTGTCCTTAATTTATTGTCAACTTTCGTTAAGACTTCGCCCATTAGCATTAGCTATTCTGGTAAGCATTACATAACATCATTTGTAATTACTTAATGAATCAATCTAGAATAGCGTTAATCAAAAAGAACCATTCTTTGATCAAATTTTAACTTATAAATATAATATTAATAAATATAAGGAGTCTCTCAAAAATATTCTATGCTGTATTCCTCCTACATCATATTTAAAGTAAACAACTTATTGCTAACTACTGTAGATACTATGGCTACTTGTACTCTTTATACTATTGGCTATTACTGCCGAAGACTTGTAAGATATCATTTCTCATTCAAATACTATTACAACCTACCTACTTACTAATTATTCATAATCATTTTGCCTTTGAATTCTTTGTCATCTTGTCACATTATATTTTTAGTTTTTGCCCATCCTTGACGATCATTTCCCAATGTTTGAAATTAAATCAGAACATTGCAATATCCTTATTTACTAGCTTGATATTAAAAACAAATTTGAAAGAATGCATTTCTTGCTGTATGAAAATCAATGGAGATAAAATCATTAGAATTCTTTAACTACTATTTACGGTGTAACTTTATTAGCTTTTGGAAATGGAGCCCCTGATATCTTTAGTGCCATTGCTGCAACGACTAGTACAAAATCGGGCGGGAGCGGTCTGGCTGTGGGAGCATTGTGTGGTAGGCTGTAGATTTGAAAATGGCGATATTTACTGTTTTGATAATAGTAATTAGTAATTTCAACTCTAACAAAGGGATGCTTACTCATTAGGTGCTGGCATGTTTGTTACGAGTATTATTGTTGGCACAATTGGTTTTCGTCATAATTTTACTGTTACTCGAAGGCCATTCTACAGAGATCTACTATTTTATGTCGCAGGTGTTTCTTTATTATTCTACATTCTGTACTACGGTCACATGAAAATAGCGTATTCCTTGGGTAAGTTACAATATTAAATGTAAATTTAAATCTTCTCCAGAGCTATGATCTTTTTAGAATATTGTTGTCGAATTTTGTTTTTCCAGTATGTACTTAATAAGAGCCAAAAATTCTATACTCGCATTCTAGGTTTCATTGGCTTGTACATAGTCTACGTCCTCGTTGTATGCATCAGCCGATACATTCGACAAATGTCGAAATCTAAGCGTGAACTTAATCGACAGTCTGATATTCCGAGTAAATCTGATATAAAAAAGTCTTTGATTTATATAATAAATATGACCTGCATGAAGTCAATCAATGCTTACAGCAAATATTTTATTCGTGGGTATAAAAAGTTATCTTGAAATTTATCATTATTTCTAGATCCAGTAGTTGCTCCTGTTGGCAATGAACTAATAGGAGAAGTTTCTGAAGGTGATGGCGAACAGATGGAGAGAGCTGATACCCCTAATGATACCCGTAGAGGCAATGATGCTATTCCCAATTTAGATGGCTTAACTGGTCTAACAAGTAAGCTAGTAAACTAATTTAATTTAAAATATCTGTCAATGTACCTTTGCCGACTATTGTATCCCTTAAACACGAGTGTATATTCTTTCAATCTTGTAGAAGCGTTAGCTGCTACAGAAATTCTCGGCACTGCTATGATTAGCCATGATAACCCACCTTTGGTCGCTAACGAGATAGAACAAGACGAAATTGAAAATTCTCCTAACTTTAATAACCACGAATTAAGAGGTAATAAATAACATTTTAAACAAATGATCATGATTAAACTTATCTCTATTACAGAAATTCAACAATTTAATACCCTTAATGTATCGACAGATTCCGAAGATGATTGCCTAATTGGCTTTCAAACTCCTAGTTCAAGTTCAAGCCGACAATATAAGCGAGAATTTAAAACATTTTTAAAGTCGCTGTTGCCGTTTAATTGGCGAGAATGGAAAGAATCTAAGATTATTGCAAAAATATTTACTATAATTAAGGTTTTAATGTTATTTTTTCTGTTATTATACCGATACATCTATTCCAGTAACCAATTAACTTGTGACATATTGCACAAATATCGAATCTAAGCTTCCACTCCTCATATGCCTTAACCTTACAACTCCAACGATCGACTATGAAATGCCTAAAAATAACTGGAATAAATGGCGTGCAGCAGTACAATGCATTCTTGCACCACTCTTTTGTTCCGTAGTGACAAAGGGTACATTACTATGATAAACTGTTGGACTTGATATAGCCATCTGAATGCCAACTTTAATGAATATTCGTTTTATATGTAGATATAAGAACTCAAATAATTTAATTACGATGATAAATTTTCTTTTGTTTATAGGAGGATTTAAAATGATCACTGCTCATCTACCAGTTTGGTTGTTAGTGCTTGCTATTGGTCTGCTCTTAGCCGTAATAGTAATCTTGACTACGACAAATGAAAAACCTCCACGCTATCATACAGTAAATTTAATATTATTTGCCTTGGTTATAAATGCAACACTTTATTAATTTTCGAACGAAGTATTGAATACATCAATTTCCCAACTTTAGCTTTTTGCCTTTTTTGGGTTTACGGTATCGGTATTATGGATTTATGCGACAGCAAATGAAATTGTCGATATACTCCAAGTTAGTAGTCTTAAAGCAAGTAATATGATCATGCTAATAAATTCTATTTAATCGAAACGATTTGTAACGATTATAATAAGGTAAATATTATTTTATAGTCCTTTGGTCTAGTTTTAGGTATAAGCAGCGTTATTTTAGGAATCACAGTACTAGCTTGGGCTAACTGCATTGGCGGTACGCATAATGCTGTAAATTGTCGATAACATTCATACTGAAATATTCTGTATTTGCTAACTAATCTGATCTATACTCTAAATATCCCCTGGCGCATTGTTAGATTTTGTATCGAATACAGTTGTGGCAAATCAAGGATTTCCACGCATGGCAATGTCAGCATGTTATGGTAGCCCAATGATGAGTATCTTTACGTAAATGGAGTGGAACATTAAAGATATTAGGTTTATGTCGTTATACGTATTTATATATGAGTTATTAAAATTCAGTTACAGATAATAACATCTTTACTAATGTATTTGTTAACTACATAGTACAGTAGTTCGATTATCGTATAGCTACAAGATCGCATTGCGTGAATATCATTTTTATTATGTCCTTAGCGGATATCTTAAGATTTGTTATTAGGATTAGGTATAGGATTTTCTATTGCCACGCTTAGAAACGGAGGTGATTTAAAGGTTAGGAGGTTTTACGCTTATTGCTGTTTTTAGCTAATAAATAACAGTTTCTTGTGATATAATTGTTGTGAGTGAATCATCACAGCAGTTAAATTTAATAATATTTTAATATTTTATTCTAATTTTATTGAATTGATTTTTATGCTTCTATTCCTTAGATCAGCCATACGCCTCTTCAATATATTTCCATTTTTTTCTTGTTGGGAAGTTTAATTTCTTCACTAGTTTTTATTCCTATGTTCGGTTTTAGAGTAAAGCGCTTTTTCGGTATATATTTGATTTGCTTATATGTCATTTACATGGGTATATCACTACTAACGCAGCTGAAGGTTATTTTCTAGTATGTAGACCTTAAGAATATGAACATAAATCTTTGATAACATGTGTTGTAAGACGATTATTTCTATTTACTTAGAAATAAGAAAAATTTTGTGCTTTAAAATTAACATTCGAATATATAAAGCGCTTTTAGGTACATATTTGATTTGCTGTATATCCTTTACGTGGGTATATCACTACTAACGCAGCTGAAGGTTATTCTTTGATGTGTAGACCTTAAGAATATGAGCATCAATCTTTGCTCACACATATTGTACAACGATTATTTCTATTTATTATAAGAAAAAATTTTGTGCTCTATAATTAACGTTAGAATATATGGCTTTAATAATTATAAATTGTATGGCATTATCGATTTTAATGGACTTTACCAATGAAAATATTTTGCTCAAGGAAGCCAAAGGTTGATAATACCTTATGCCTTGAGCAACATAAATTATGACTCAGTACTAATGAAATATTTGCTCTAATTTATTTTAAAATGATCTCACAGGAATCATAAAGTACTTAATTCATGAAAAATTTCTCACAAATTATTTATTTATAGTAATTGTAAAATCAATGACTTGTACCATCAAATTTTTAAAATCAGGTGATTTATTAAACCGAATGATCAACGCGAATATGTAGATGATATATGAAGCTGATACGTTCTTAGTGTATCCAAAATCACTTTATATTTAACAAAAAAAGAAAAAATTGCATACTTTCGCCAATAATATTGATGATGGAGTTAAACATAGTTATAATTAAATTGTGACAATTACAGCAGTCCATTGTGTATCATCATTCAATGTGCTAGATAGGGATTGAATTTTAAACAATTATCAGTATTTGATAATACAAGTGAAGTTGTATATTTTCATAATCAAAAATAAATTAATTTACTATATTTAATTCAAGAAAATTGCTAGTCTAGTCATTAACCAATATTCTATTTTAATATAGGGATTAAAATTGCATCTTCATTTGATACTAGCATTTATTACACTAACTATATGAGAAAAACGAAACACTGATCGAAGAAATCATGTTACTTGTTATAAAATTCAGTTTAAGAAATACAAACATATAGTGTATCACTTGTTGACGATATGTGAGTATGAATTTAAGCTATTTTACAGTAAATTTGTTATAGATCTGTGAAGAAGTTCATCAATAAAATTTAAACAAGTATAACCGTACCATTGCTATATAAATGTATCACTTAACCAGATGTTTTAACTCACACAATTCCAAGGTAAATTCTACCATAAACAGATAATATGCTGCTCACGGATATTACCAAGCCACTTTCGATGCAACTAATTGCATGGTCAAGTACTTATATAGTAATTATTATTAATAGATAACCAGTCGATCACTTATTTAAGTAAATCATTATAATTAAGTCTATTGGAAGTGTAGTTAAATAAGAAAATAATATTAGCTGTAGAACTGAACACCGATGGATTTTATTATAGAATAGCAAAGGTATATTATTATAAGCTAGACAATATTATTGTAAATACATTCTCGATTTGCTACTTTACAAACGTTAATTTAAAACTGATTCTAAGAACTATCTTGAGATTATTCATAAATAAAATAAAATAAAAAAAAATCTAGTTTTAAATCTTAAATCTTTGAAGGCTAGATCATGCCTAGAACTTTAATGTTTTTAAGTCATTCTCTTGCTGTCTCATCTTGATGAATTAATCATCATTTCCAACTTATAATGTTTTGGTCGTGAATCTTTCAAGATTTCATCGTATAAAAATATAAAACTATATCAATTCCATATTATAATTTTAATTGTTAACATTGAATAGTACACAATACCCTTATTGTTAGTAATATATATGACCTTGTCATCTCTTATTCATTAGCTAAGAAATATTCTTTTTCATTGCCCTTTAGTAGTGCAGCCTCTCTTGTTATTTATTTCATTTTTCTAATTGAAATTCCCAAGATTGAATTAAGAGAATTATTGCATTAGTCCGTGAGTACGTAAACGCTAAATTTTCGGTTAAGGTTATTATTTACAGTTATATTGAACTTGGTAATTAATATCATGATTTGACATCCTTTACACAGTTTAACAATAAATACAATGCAGAATTTATCATCAAATAATTACAGAAAAATGTAGCGTTGTATTGTAGTAAAATTCGATGCTAACATAAAAAAGCTCTTAGTTGCACATGTACTCTATACAGTGTGTCAATTTTCCTGATTGATTTATTATTCAATGATAGGTGGTTATGATCACTAATAATACTTAAAGTTAGCTACTGAGTCTAAGAAATATAGCTGAAGTGAAAGAATAATATATGTGTTGGGAGAGGTTTATAAAACCAGTAAGACTGCGGCATAAAATAATAGTTTCAATACAAAAATATGTAGCCAGAGATGAAGAAGAAAATTGACTGAATGTAGATAGTTTATGAAATCAGTAAGATGTGAAAGTAATAGTTATATAGTGGTATATTGGATCTCGAAAATACCGTTTCTATAGACCTCTCTTTTTCCTGAAAAACAATACGTATATTTTACTATTTAAATTAAATTTCCTAAATGATTAATTAAAGTATCTTTTCTGCTATTAGTTACTATTATCTACGGCGCCAAGTGTTAATGAATAATTACCGCCGATCCTTGCGTCAACCAGGATATTAGATTAACATGTATAAATATGTACCATAACCTATACTATTAAGTCTTCATAGCAGATATTCGATATTTATTGGTTACTTGAAAATTTAATCAAAATTGTATGTTAACATTTGATATCTTGATATTAAATCATAATTACTTCTCAGCAACCTCTAAAAGTAATTCATTCTGTCAACATTAGTTGATATACGTACATAATATGAACAGTTCAGTTCTTCGTACATTTATATCATAGACGTATATATGTTAATACTAAGGTACAGTATCAAGTTAATGTATTCTGTTTTAACGATTTTAGAATTATAAGCATAAGTATCAATCAATAGTATGGAAATCAATTTAGCAAAATTAAAATGTGGACCAACAATGTAATCAACTATTTCCATTACTTAAACAATATTATATTGAATGATTTGAAGAGAAGTAAAGCTTGATGTTTCCTAGTATGCATGATTGTATATGCTCTTTGTATATGCTCTTTGTATAGCTGCATAGGAGTAGTAAATTACTTTGGTATATATTGCATAACTATTTCAGAATTAAATCAATAGCTCTATAACATTAACTATAATAATAAAATAAAATACTGGCCGTCATCATGGAAGAAGGATGAACTGAAGGATAATCATATTAAATAGCTAAATTATAACCATCTTAGAATTGATCATTGTAGTTAACCATTAAAGATTGACTATCATTAATTATAATGGAAAATATCGTTAAGAGTTTATGTGAACGGCATCGATATTACTAATTGAAGGGAAAGTCATTTCTTTCTACCCAGTAACGATTAATGGAATAGTATTACATCTAATTTCTATCATTGTGTTATGATTTCTTTTTAATTAATTAGTAACAATGAAGACAATACAATGTATCATTTTTGGTATGATTGATTCTATGCCATTACTGTTATCTAATGTAAAAGTTAAAGCTTTCAATAATTATTTAAAGAAGTCAATTAAACAGGTAAGTTACATTCAATCAAAATTAATTAATTATCAAGAGCTATCGAAGCTTAATTATTAACAAAAAATTTGACATATTAATTGTTACCATTATTAAAAGTTTCAATATTGTTCCATTTCTTGTTGATATTTACTAGTATGCAACAGTTGACAGTATCTTGAAGAAGGATTCGCGAAAATTAGTCTATCGATAGTGTAGTATAATAATAATTCATAAATAATTAATTATCTGCACATGTGTTTTACTAAGTTCACGATGATAGCTTTATTTATGCAATATTTATATCCGACGGTTCCTTTGATAATTGTTTTCTTTCGGCTATTTTTATCATTTTCGATTGAATCGATTTAGATGAAAAGTGTGGGCACCAATGTTCATACTTTCACAATCTATTTAAGCGATGGAATAAAAAATGCAAAGTCATCGTTCTAATCAATTTATATATTAGTGACAGTGTACAAGCATAGCCAAATTCCAACTTTCATCTTACCGATATTAACTACCATCTACGCGTACAACTATGGAATCAACTGAGAATTTGAGTCTATCTATGGCGACACCTAATAGCTCTTGGAATTCATCAAGGAGCGCTAGTGCTGTATTAAATCTACCGACGTTAATTTATCTACCGGAATATGTACTCTTCACTATTTTATCGTTAATGGCCATCATTGGTGATACATTAACTTTACTAGCGATTAGAATGAAGAAAGTGCGTGTTCAAAATGATATTTTAATTCAAGCATTAGCCACCTATGATATATGCAACTGTTTATTCGTTTCTCCAGTTGCGATTATTCCATTTGCAATCTCATATCAAAGTATTGACGGCTATAAATTACTTTGCAAGATAGTCGGTATGGCTCGCGTTTTTTTCAATGTTGGTTCGCTTACCGTTGTAGTATTAATGGCTATGGAGCGGCGATTAGCTATTACTAGTCCATTCTTGCATCGTATTCGTATTAATAAAAGAGTTATTCGAAAAGCTATTATCATTGCAAGTCTCGTTATTATTACTGGTGTCATAGTTCCGAGTTTTCTAGGAGCAGTCCATTATGGACCAATTGATAGACATGGAATGATTTGCTACATTCAATTTGGCCAATTTAATATTTTAGCTAATGGTACAAATACTCAGTCTAGACTAGGATCATTTATTGCTAATGCTATTGTCACTATTGTTGTTGCCATTTTAGTTATAACGTTGGTCTGTATGAATGGGCAAGTAGTAAGTTTACTCAGTCAGCGTTGCAAAATTATGCAAGATAAAGGAAACGAATTATACTTGAATAAAGTTATTAATTATTGTCCACTTTGTAAGTTGATGATTTTCATCTCAGTCTTAGCATTATTGGCTTATGCTCCCTACGTGGTAAGATTAATAAGTTGATCAGAATAATTTGCTAAACTAAAATCATTTTGTATAAGCCCTTCAATTAAATAACTTTACAGTTAAATACTATAGTTAGAGATGAGGACATAGGCTATTTGCACTAGTACAGTAGTATCCTGGCTACCATTAATTAAAATTAACCTATACAATTTCGACAAAATTATCTGCAACTAAAATAATTTTAATAACTAAACATAAAAATTTCCTATCTATTTCGCAAAACCTATGGTAACTTCCTTTACCTATACAATTATATTGATTGGATATAAGAATACACATGTATCTAGTACCGTGGTATAGAGCTAGTCTTTGTGTAGCTGGATACAATGACTAATCAATTAATTTAGGAATGCTCTCATTCGTACCATTTCAATAGTGCTTGTTCTACTTATTTCTTCGTACTATTACACTATATCGTATAGTGACGGCACATTACTACTTGTAATTTATGCGATTGCATATAAATTCACCTATTTAAAGTAGGTAGTTTAGATTTTAAACCACTCCTGGATGGAGTTATATCTAATGATAATTATGGCGCACATATTAATTGATAAAGTGAGGTTGATGATTAAGTACTACAGTAATGGATAGGTAGTGATTCATTGTATTCTAAAATAGAAATTAATTATCACCTTGTAATATTTAGATCATGGGTTTTAGTAATGCTTAACGTTCCATTAGAAACAACAGATTTTGCTTCTATGTTTGTTAATTAGATACTATTACCATTTTCTAATCATTTTTATACACCAATTAATTAATTGTTTCGATTCGAACATCTTTTATGATGATCAGATTTATGGGGTTGTTAGCTCATTTGGTGTTCGCCTTCCGCTACGAGCCGAGATATGGATTTTTAATCTATTTGTATGGCTAAATATGTCCTTAAATCCTATAGCCTATGGGATGGCCAGGAAGCAATATCGAACTTACTACTTATACTTTCTCAAGAAATCTGTCCGAATTATGACATTTCGCTCCTCAAAAGATATTAAAGGTACAACAAAAAATAAGCCTATAACTCCCTTTTTACTAACTTACCTCACAATTAACTACTGCAAATAGTTAAATTATTTGATATTACCGCGTGTCTCAAGGCTTCTAATTTTAATCATCATTACTCCGATAGATCATATCTTACTGAAATTAATTTACTTGTAATCATTTTTGAATAGTGATTGTAATACCGTCATGAAATGAAATAACATCATTTTACTATAAGCTACCATCACATCGAAATTTTTCTGAAAAAATTTATTATTAACGTACAGTACCCAGGGTTATACTCATTTTTAATGTGTAATATAGTGCAACGATCCAACATTAAATGAATTTTGTTCTCTATCATTTATTTTAAATCACTATTTTGTTATAATTAAATTTTTAGTTGTGGATAATGAACGTTACTGTGTGGAAGCTGCACACGATCTTAAATCAAGTACTTTTACTAAGACGACCATTTCTAGACTTTCATCAAAGTCATGTTCCATTGTTGCTAATCGAACTAAGCAACAGAGAGTACCTGAAGAAATAACATCGTTTTAATTAGGATTCCTTGCTGGCTTAATTTGACTTAATGACTGCTAGAAAAGTTTATGCCTGTCTTCTCTAGTAGTAGAATTCTATATCAAATTATGGTAGGAAGTATTCAAGAAAGCTCATTCTAACCTTTGCAATACTCCCGTGTCAGTACTGTTATGATTTAGCTTAAACACAGGAACTGATAAACATCATAAACCATAATTATGTTAAATAATAAACATTCGTCCAGTGTCGTAGATAAGAAGTGTTTTTTCTGTTATTACTAAATACTGGTATATGTTAGTAAAATAATTTTATTAACATTCAGGTATCATTTAATCATTTATAGCTTAAGATAGGCAAAACTGTTCCTGAATATTGCTGATAATAGAACAAGATTATCAGTTTCGTGTATTTATACAGAATCACCATTAAAGCAAACCTTGTCTTTTCTGTCGTTGCTGCAGTATTAGGAATAAAAGTAAATTTCTCAGTTTCTCATTCCGTATAATTATTTACGTATATCTTACATGCGAGCTGCTGTTCGTGATTAAATTAATCATAAAAGCAATCAGCTTCGTTAATTCATGTACCATTGTCATAGAGTAAGTATAATTTTTTCTGTCATCCCTACTGTCTAATCATTTACATTTTGAAATGTAATACGGAACAGCTCTGAAAATATCGTAAAGCAACCAAAAAATATCATCAATATGTAAGCCTTACATAATAATGCAGTTGGCAATTATGCATATGTGTAAAAGTCAATGTCATATTCTTATTGTAACTGATGGATTATCCTTTTGTATATTGCATAATATTTTCCTTACTCATTGAAATACAGCAACGTGATCTTGTAGTATCTCTAAATTAATGCTAATATTAGACTTGATACTTTCTTACTAAATTGCTTTACGGAGATAGTGTGCAGTGAATCAGTGAGATATTGATATTAAGGGTTAAGTTAAAAATGTATTTGATAATTTCCATGTATTTTATCGTGTGAAATTACTATTTCCGAATCCAAGTGCCACCAGCTGTACTAAATCTGTAATCATGCAGTTAGAATTTTAATAAAAGCATCCTTACTATTGCCAACGTTCTTATTTATGAGATCATTTCTCACATAGCTTTTTGACCGAAAGTTATAGCCAAGACAATATTGTAGCTGGAGATTCCGAGCTGACTTCCGTACGAAAGAATTACAATTGCAATTGGCTTTATAATTAGTTATACTCGTATATCATTTTATTTCGTTTCCGATCGTAATTATTCAACTGAAACAATTTTACTTTATTATATTAAATGTTTTAAAGAATGATTATAGTTATTCTAAGGGTATCGTTCATGGTCTAATTTTACTTTATTATATTAAATGTTTTAAAGAATAATTATAATTATTCTACGGGTATCGTTTGTGGTCTAATTTTGGACAGATCATCCAAGGTATTATAATGATTTGCAACCGCTCGTTGTTTAGCATTAGCGGTTGCAATTTTTATACAATTAAAATATTAAGAAGTAAACATATAAAGAATATAGCCCTTAGGATGAGTCTTAAGCTTTGTGAATTTAGTGGATCTGACTTATTAAAAATCAAGAAATCGAGATATGGTACATGATAAGGTATTATATATTAATGCACTGGTATACTAACGCATACTTATTTTTAGAATATGAGGCTTAAATATTGAGAGTCCGTATTGCAACGTTCTTGCATAATGATAGCTGTTAAGAGCCCATAACATATATCGCTTTCCCTCTCTATACTTCGATATAGTATAATGTGTACTTACAAATTTACTACACGATTCACTTATTATCTTCTACATACTGCCGACAAGAAGATTGAGATGTTATCTTTGTAAATGTCACGAGTTAAGCTCTAATGCTAATAGATCCATTTATATAGCGTACACTGTACACTTGTTTCGCTATTTCATCTTCAATAGTTTATACAGCTTTAATGATCCCTAGTACATCCAGTCTGCACAAACAGGCTTATGCCACTGATTGTACTGGCACTTCGAAAGTGCTAAGATTAGTGCAGTACCTATGATACAATAGCTATGTTAGCACCATAAGGAAGAACCTTTAATGGTTAGGACTTCCAAGTGTTACGGTATAATACACCATCGAGGATATAAAAGGTGAGAGTTTTTTAAGGGAGGGATGGATGACATGATACTGAGAGCCAATAACATCGAGACTGCTACTGATCAATTTATCTGATCCTATCTAGGTTATTCGCATATGAAGATTGAGAGGAATATAACGGCCAGAAAGCACATACTAATGCATATAATGCTATATACAGTATTGTAATTAAAAGGATACATAACAATAATTTTATAACTCAGATAAATGCTTTAATGATGGTTATCATTGCTTGTCCACGCAAGTCTGCAGCGTTTCGCATTAGTGTTTGCAAGCGGTCATTGAAAATTCATACGATTGAGGACCAGTTCCTCCGTTACTTATAACCACATACTGTATATTTTATTACAATTCTGTATGTGTTAGATAACAAATGAAATTCTTAGACTTTTATTCGCATAAAATTATTCCAAAAATATATAGTAGTTTAATTTAAAGCAACCTTATCAATGTTGTAGTACTTTTATAATCATAATAACAAGTGACTAATGCAGATTCTTTGATAAGCCATACTTCTTAATCGACGAGCAGTCGATCAAGTAAGTAGGAGATGTATTTAACATATATAGTGCAGCAGATAATAAATTCGTTCGTGTTCTTTTAAATTAAATTAAAAAATTTTAAAATCATGTCTACTTTCGTAATCGAACTTTGACCAGTAACTCAACAGGACAACCGAATGCCTCTTCTAAATCAGCCTTGGCCTCTTCAGAGATCGTCCTAATTACTTTACCACGAGGTCCAATGACAATGGACTACAATATGGCATTTGATATGCACTTATAAGTATAAATCTAGCTTATACGTATATCATAAATAGACATTTAATGCCTTACCATTTGACCATTTCTTCTGCAATCAATTGATTGATGAATCCTTAAAGTGCCGTTATCTGATAAGTGCCAAAATAGATTGCTCTAATGATCAAGAATAAATCAAATAAGGTTAAGAATTACATAAGGATTTAATAATTATGATTAGCGGCTACACTTATAGATACTATATACCTGCTTTAAAATATATGGTAAATCATGCGGCAAGTGACCTAACAGTTTTTCTCGAATTATTTCTTCGACAAATCGCGAAGGTGAAAGTGAGGTCAGCTGTTTCATATTATATTGCCAATTACCAGGTTTTGCTTGCGAAACAAGGTATTCCTGTTGAAAAGGTTATAAACTGGGATTAAATTCCATATTTAATTCCAGATAATTACTGAAGTTTAGTTGATAGAAGCAATAACTAGTGATGAGTACCTGCAGCATATCAACGCCGTCGCCAGTCCGAGCCGATATCATAAATACTTCTTTAAAGTTTTTCCATCCACCATTTTTACGGACGGATTGCTTTTTTAGAGAGTTATCAGCATTTTTAATTGACTCATCAACAATAATATAACTTTTCTTCTTTGGTGCAAGTTTAATCGTAGGCTCTTTTAATTTAATAGTTGGTTTAGTTTCTTGATAATTATCTGTTAGTTTATCAATTAAATCCAATAAAATCTCTTTACGAATGACGTCAACTTTATTCAGTACCAGTACCGATGGAATAGTATCGAATTCATGTAAAATTTCTAAAATCTCTTCAGATAAATGATCTCGTGTGCGTTTATTACCTACATCAACTAGCACTGCAACTGCAGCACATAAAAAATTCAATCAAGATTTGCCTCACAAAATATCCTATTCACTGATGAAAGTTATACTGTATATTCTATTTATTCCTACGCAAATCAGCATCGGTTGCACAATCTCGAGGTCCAGTTGCTAGTGCTTTTGACATATAATATCTGTCGTATTAGATAAATAACAATATAAATTCTTAAACGATAGCAAATTAGCTTATTAGATGATGCCAAGGTAAAGATATTTAAACGCTTACTTTCTTCTAATGTCCCTAGATAATGTACCAGGACTGTCTACCAAAACCTATCATAGTTTAAGTATAATTGGAGTATTTTAGACATATAACATTAGCTATTGATTATGACATTCTACAGCATTATTTAGTAACTAATCAATTTCGTGCATAGTTCACAATTAGAGCACTCTTACTAGTTAATAAATCTATCAGTGCAAAGCCAATGAATCCTTAATGCTAAGTTACTGACTATTTGTGTAGATCCGAACGTTATGATACCAGAAGAGCGTTCACGAGTAGTTTGTGGCTTGCGACAAACAGGAACAACCTGATCGTAATACAGTATTGTTAGTCAGTTTACCATATAATCACTGTTTTAGTCCACGATTGATTGACGTTAATGAATAGGTTCATTGAATGTACGGATTATTGGCATAGTGAAGGATGAAAACAAAAATTGATTAATTATCCATGATGAGAAGTAGTCAATAATAACATGGTACCTTTCTTCCTACGAGTACATTAGTTAGTGTCGATTTGCCAGCATTAGGTTCTCCTAGTAATGCAACTTTTAAAATCTTGGGCGAATGTGGCTGTCGTGGTTTTGGCGCAACAGTAATTTTAGGATCTAGAAATTGGATGAAGTTATTTAGTAGAAGTTATCGTAGTAGAAAACCTTGGTATTATCCTGCAACAGTCAGTAAGGAAAATAGGAATATCTTGTACCAAGATAGGGCATATTGAGAACACGTTTTATTACAGTCGCATTTTAACACAATTAAATCGCATAGTCTAAGCTCATCTAGCTCCATACCAATACAGTTGCAGTATATGATTAATTTATTTCAGGTTCACCTATGATTGGCACTATCTGATTATCGTCCAAATCCTTAATTTTACAATTATTCAAATTGACATATTGCACGCTTGTTGTTATTGTAGAGCGGATTCCTCCTATAGAGGGACATATTAATAAGGCAATCGTTACATGAAGCGATTAAATCATTGAATCAAGGGAAAAAATGAAATTGCTGCCTCAATCTTGATAGTTGTCATTATTAATTATTATTATTTCGTATGCGTGTAGCTCCCAATCATGCTTAGATACAATTGCAACATGGACTATCAATACTACATGATTTCAATATTTCTTAATGTGCTAACCCTGAAATTGATTGACAGCAGTAAAAATACAGCTCGCCTGGTGATGTCTTGGATGGAGGCATCTCCGGCTAAAATAGAGTAGAACATCCATACTAGGATGGAATGATGTTATTCCAAGAACTACTACTGTTATCCTATGACGAAAAGGGCAAGAAACGAGGTGGTCGAGCTGAGCAAAAGATTGCACAAGCAGCAGCCCCTGAGCCACACCATCGCTTTCAGCAAATCCTACAGTACAATACTGTACACTGTACACTATTGTACTGTACTGTACTGTACAGTATTACTGTCTAATTTTATAGTCTGTTTTCCGTCCGTCTAGATCTGTTTCCAGACTCGGGTAAATTGCCCGGGTACCCGGCCAATTTTTATATTGATGGTATGAAACGGGTACCCGGGTCACAAATTTCCCACGGGTTGCAATCCCTAGTTGGTGTTGGTCGTAACAGTATACTCTTGTGTAGTGATCCAGTAGACTGTATGGCCATCATCCATCGCTCTCGGGACTCGTTGCGACCAGGCTATGCGAAAGTGAGAGCGATGAGATTCGCCAGAGGCGGTTGTTTACTGTATCATTTTTCTGATCGCTACAGTAGTGAAACCGTATACTACCCTGTAGAAAACCAAGCCAACAGCTGATTTGGAGGCAATGGCAATCACGAGCTTGTTCACAGCAGGGACTACTGGAAAGAAGAGAAACACGACACGATCGTTGGCTGTACTGGCGATGTGAAGGCCGATTTTTTGGCTGGTCATTTCAACTGTATGTACTGTAGAAAATCAAGCCAACAGCTGATATGCAGGCAAAGGCAATCACTCGCTTGTTGATAGCAGGGACTACTGGAAAGAAGAGAAACACGACACGATCGTTGGCTGTACTAGCGATGTGAAAGCCGACTTATTTGCTGGTTATTTCAACTGTGCTGCCAATGAGCTGCCAGGTTGGTTTTGTACAGCATGGTGTACGGTTACAGTCTTAGCGTAGTGTAAAATGACTGCAAAAAAGTCGGCCTGCACATTTTTGCCCGCTTTCGCCCGTGTCCACTGTCTAGTCCGTCCCTCTCTTCTTTCGAAACAATTAGTCACAAGACTGGCAACTAGTCACAACGCCTGGCAATCTCGGTCCCGGTCCCATCTAGCCCCACCCATTCATTCCCATCATTCCTGATACGGATACACAATGCATAGCACTGTACTGTACTGTACAGTACAGTATTCATTCCCATCATTCTTGATACGGATACACAATGCATAGCACTGTACTGTACAGTGTATAGTGCTGTACAGTACAGTACAGTACAGTATAGTTGCTACGGCACAATACTGTACGGTGAAGTCCAGTCTGGTCCAGTCCGATCCGGTCCAGCCCAGTACAGTATATTGTTACACTGAGTACTGTATAGTTGCTACGTCACAATACGGTGAAGTCCAGTCTGATCCGGTCCAGCCCAGTATATTGTCACACTGAGTACTGTATGGTTGCTACGGCACAATACGGTGAAGTCCAATCTGATCCGGTCCAGTCTGATCCGGGCCAGCCCAGTATATTGTTACACTGAGTAACTGTTGACTTCAGGCGATCGACAGTTCTGCTGCTTATCGTCGTGTGTTCAACCATCCGGACTTAACTACCGTACTCTACAGTGTACTCACTCAGTCTGCAGTAGCGTACTGTACTGTACTGTCAAGTGTGAACAAACTGAAACTACGCTGTACTGTCACCTGTCAAAATTGTTGTTCACTGCCGGTATCATCCACATCAAAGATAATCGTCAAACTAGCCGTTCTCACGCGAATTCTCTCTTTGCCAGCTATTCTTGCCACGATCATGGCAACATTTCTTCGTCGGCTTGCTGGAGAATTCTCCAATAAACCCCCGATTGTTTTATTCTCCATTTTTTTATTCACCTTGGCCTTTTCGTTACTGCTTCTTGGATGCGTGATCGATCACAGCGAATTTGCCAATCCTGATTTTAAGGTAATGTAGTGATCGCTAATTTTCAATCAAATGATGGCAAACCCAGTATCACAACCTTGTTCCCATAGTATCCCTTTTGTCACACTACGAATGGATCATCCATGGCTACAAGTCACAACGAATCATCATGATATTTCAATGATGACTGAATACTTGAGAATGGGCTTCTTTCGATCCCTTTGACTTGTCCACATTACTGTATATAGTGTTGACTGTAGCAGATTAGCATTTGAACGCTTGAAGTTAATTCAGAATGATCATCAATTATCTTCAGATCCATACTATGTCAAGCAAGCAGTATGGAACGAAAAGAATTTAGAATAGGCGTCCAAGTACACATAGCGTTCCGTTTTCTTCCTTTGACAAATCAATTCATTGATCAACATATCGTGGACAATCCAGTATACGATCAAATAAGAATATCCAACTGGATTACACACGGGGCTATTTTATTATTTTTTATTTTCAATTCATTTTACCGTATTGCAGAACGGCAAACCTCGCTACTTCTTTGTTGAACATGAAAATTGCTTTAAAATGATCGGTAGGAATACATGAATCCATTTTTTCTCAAGTCTTAGTGTTAAGTTGTCATAAATTTGATATTGGAGCCCACTGCTTGCTGTGTTAACCTTCAATCAGCCTGCTCAAGATATTTTTCTCAAAGTCCTTTACTAGTACTACTGCACTGTCGAGTGGAAAAAAGTTTATGCCTTTTTTTACCCCACCATACAGTACACCATAACGCATACTGTACTGTACCGTACCCTTCCATTTTCTGGCGCTGTGGCCATGGACTGGACGCATGTTTGGGTGGAAGGATCTTGGCTAGTATGACAATGCAATTTTAGCAGCGCTCCCATTTCTATTCACAACGGAGTCTATGAATTATTTTCAAATTAGAAAATTCTACATAGAGCATAGCCATTCTCCAATTACAGTTATCGCAAGTGATCTGCGAATCATTTCACAGAGCTAAATATAAGGATGGCTATCCCAAAGTGATTTCAATACAGTAAATGTCTAAAATTCAATGGTGAAATGTAAAAGGCTCAACGACTTGTTTTTTATTATTTTATTTTGATTATTGTATTATTACTACTGGTATGAGAGCGATTCGGTACTGGCACTGTACAGGACCCACAGAAAATACAAGAGTATCATTGAGCTGTACAACGACGCCATACAGCACACTCGAGTAGTACAGTAGAGTTTATACAGTTTTCTAAACTTGGAAGATATACAAGGCACACGCAGTTGTACTTTTGCTTTCGACCCGATTTCAATAATTTACAAGCAAACGGAAGAGGAATATTTTATCTTCCAATGAATCACAGAGTAGAGCGTATACAAACCTCTTGCCACGCTTTCTACCTGATGTACTTGGTTGTGCCGGTTATAAACAGGCTACCATGTTAAAGGTAGACTGTCTACCGTACGAGTAATTAATTCTATCCCACCCTTCCTGAATTAATTCAAAATTCCCCCCAACTTTGATACCCTGGATAGGGGATTAGACCGTAAAGTGTCTGTATAACATACAGTAAGCCTTTCTAACACTTGCAAGCCCTAACCATACAGCTCCTATCATAGCTATTCTCTGTCCTAGGTAGTACAAATGTTAGCACGTTGGAAATATTCGTCAAAGCTATAGTACAAGCGCAATTCACAATAATTAAAGTCTGTTTATACAGACTACAGGTACTAGTATCAAGTAAAGTATAGTATGCGGCGGTCATCTAGTTTTGACAGAACGTGGTCTCGACGTACCTGCATACAGTATCGATGGATGTATTTTAAAAGATAACTTTTTTTGTTTATAGTATATTGATTTTGATATTATCGTTTAATTATTTTAGAACTGGAATGAAATAATCCACAAATTAAGCCATCAGAAGTTGGACCTAACGACGGATCGAGTCGATGGACTTATTGTTCCCAATAATGTCGTGATCAATAAAACGAACGTCCCCGCTGTTAATGTTTCTCTCCCTTTAACCTTCACCGTTAGAAATTGTTGTCGTAGCTTTGGCTTGCGACATTTCCAGCATAAAGCCGTCAAAACTATCTTGCCCATGTCGATACTGGATAATAGATTATTTAGTAAGCCAATCTTTTTCTATGCCTGTCAGTTATCTTTTTTAGTCAAGGTTGAATTGTTACCAATTGATATCACTAATTTCTTGCATTCACTTATAAAGTACAGTATATGGTGATACAGTGAATCTGTTACTATTGCCGTTAAAATGCTAATAGGCGGCGATATAAAACTCTCTTCCTTTTTATTAGGTGAATTTCCATCGCTAAATTTTACTGTAACTCTCTTCCTCGGTGACATAAATAAAAATCTTTCAGGTTGGTATTAAGAAATAACTGAATACTCCTAATCATACATCTTGATGTTGAGCACTGATAGCAAAATGGATGATAAGTAGGCAATTATTTTATAATAGTTGTCACATACCATGATCTTATTAGCAAATTACACGAGATTATGCGTGCCTGTATTGTGGTTATTGCTAATTTGCGATCAATATATGGCATTGGGTGTATCAACAGCGAAATTGATCTCTAGAATAAAATTGTCGCAAGTCTATCTGCTAACATTGAATAGAATTAAAATATTCGGCTTTAGATTTTGTATCCTGTTTTAGTTTCGCTGTACTGTACATCACTTTACTGTTTACAATAATGGATTTAAATTTTCGACTCTGTAGTCGCGATGCAAACTACCTGAGATCATCATCACGATACGGCACCCATTTTGTTGATCGACAAACCGATTGTAATCTATTGTCTTACTTAGCAGACTGAGAGATTTATCGATAATAATTCTTAACTGCTGACACGTCAACATGTACAATATCAAGTTTATATTGGAGTTATTGGATGTTTCGGTAATAGTTGGAATAATATCTACCTTGAAATTTTTTTTCAGATGGCAACGGAGCAGAGTTCAAGTCTTGCGCAGTATTGACAGTGCCTGAAACTTGGCTATCTTCTAGCAGGTCGGAATTTGTCTTTCATTAAGAGTAACTAATCATCAGACTTATGCTTAATTTCGGTGTATGATTAAAAATTACTCGGACTTCGCTTCTAACTATTGTAGCCAATAATCTATTCATATAACTACTACTAGTTTATTTCTACTTCACTTGTAGCTTCCTAATTAGCCTTTCATAATCTGTATTTGCGATATTATATCTAATCTTATGTATACTTAATTTTTAAATTGATTAAACTCCTCAATACAGGATTTACCTTTTTTTTATCTAACAGATCGTATTATGACTCGACATTTTGTCGTGTATTTCCAACAAACTACTCCATATTTGCGATACCAGATTCTTCATTAGATTGCAAGCATAACTGTACGGAATATTATACATTTATTGGCAATATTAATCATCACTACGATGAGCATTTGACTGTCTGGATTTCAAAAGTACGTTATCTTGCTATCAATCTGCAGTTTTGACATCTTAGAGTATTTCTTGTTATTGTTAGTAAATTGGCACTATGTTACGTAATCTATTTAGGGTAATTGTCGTTTTATTCGCCATTTCATTTCATATTTGTCTTTTACTCCTCAAAATTACAGGAAGCTCGAAATGTGATATTCATACGTTTGCAGTATTGTAGTTACGTTGCCCTGGTTGTAGTATTAGGTTTCATCATCCTCGCTGGATCCTTTGGTAGGCCAAAAGCCAAAGTTTTGCTATCATCTTCTTTTACTGAAGCTATCGACAGTGATGAGGATGGAATTCAAAGTTATTAAATTTTTAAAGTTAAAAATTAATAACTGCTTCACGAAGATGCTATATATTTACATGTGATATTACCAGTTTTCATGAATATATACTTGGGACTGTAAATACAAGTATATTTGTTCAAAAATTTTAAAGGTAATGTTATATGTTATTGAAATTTGGGATACTGTAAAGCGAGTGAATTTAATTTAACCTTGCAACGATTAGTAAGTGCGTCAGTGCCTACTATATTATATTTCTGTACTGGGTAAAGCCTTGTAAATCAAATTAAATTATGTTATAATTATGCAGCGCTTTTACTGCACAATATAATGTACAATGTACAATCACAAGAATATAAGCACTGGAAGATATTTTATTTCTATAAACGGCGCAGCGTCTGGAATGCTTGCCCGGTTCGAAAGTTTGGCGCACTTCATTCTGTAGTCAACTAGGCATTGTACTGTACTATACTATGCCAAGACACGATGATGTGTATGCACTGGGTATGATACAAAAAGTCAACTTTCACATTGTAACTAGATTCTATATCATGCAATAATACGTACTTACGTTATGTACGGATTATCTAATTTTATTATTGGCTGTGAGTTTTTTATAGTAAAACAAATTAACTGATACATGTACGTGGTACAATGCAATATTTCCCATACAGTAAACATTGGAAAAAATGAATTTATTTGTATATATAACTGCATAAGAATATTCTAACACAAAATTATAATTAGTGTAGAACAGTTCTTCTTGCTTAGAAAAGTAAACATGTTTGTTAAAATTACTTAACAATAAACTTGTACTGTCACAATGAAAAGATGGATATGTGATGACTGACGATACTTTACAGCAAGTTTTATAATCTGAAAGGAGGTGCATGGTATTTCTGAAACGAAATAACGCCCAAGTCGAGATTTCATGACGTAAATGTTATAGAAAAAGCAACTCATTCTCACAGACACCAAACTAGGCTTCAAGACTAATCATAATTAATCAATTATCAAACCTCTTGTTGATTAGATCAGAAAATTTTTATTTCCTTTAAAGTTGTACTGTATTTTGCTAAATATAATTTTATACTATTCAATAATACAACTTTTTTAGCGAGTTGGAAACAGGGGAGTTATCACCTGTAGGATTATGTCAATTGTGACTAAATTGAACTCAGTAAGTTTTTCATATATGTCATACATTTAGTGACTTAAAATTTGGAAATGATGAGATGTAGTAACTTGACAATGTCAATAATTTACTATTTCATAAAAAATTTATGTTGCAAAATATATGTTATACATTACATCATATAATTACGGTCAATTTCCTCTAAAAGGAATTTTCAAAATGCTGTACATTCAATTCAATACAAGTCTAGTTAGATTTTGCTGCAGCCTTAGACATATCGTCTATTAGTGTTTCCAATAAGCTAGTTCCGTTTAGAAGTTTGGTAGTCGCGATAATGAAATCGTTGCCTAATTGATAAAATAAAAAAATATTGGTATTCACAATCGACGTTTTACTACATTTATAGACAAAAGACATATTCTTTTGCATCAAATCATAGCGTATGAGACGATAGGTATAAATTATTCTCGCTAATTAAACTCAATACAGCGCTAGTTGCATGCAATAATAAAATTTAAAATTTAAACATACCGATAGTAGTAGTAATAGTTATTTAAACATAGTTACACTAGCATTTAGCGGTCTCGTAGCGGTAGCTGTATCGATTCCAAGTTATTTATATATTACCTTCCTCTTGCTTTGACAAAAATCGCAATGCCGCAATTTCTGCATAAGTGCATCCTCCAATAAAAAACACTAAAGTGGTATCATTTTTCTCCATACCTTCGATCATAAACAATACGATTTATCAACAAATTCCAATACAGTAACATGCAATGAAATCATCATTTATAGTATTACTAAATTTGCAAGAATTAATGAACCTTTATCTGACAAACCACCAGGAATTTGCTGAGCAATTTCGCTGAATTCTCCAGGAATAGTTTTAAGGACCTAATAGATCAACACATAGCTAAGTACTACGAATGTACAAAAAGGTTGGAAAGCTCCTATAGCCTGATAAATTATGTAATCGTGGCAAGTTATTCACCTCTTCTACTCCTTTCCAAGACTGTTTATCCTCAGTAAAATATTGAGCAAGCCTCACAGATAGAGGGGCATATCCAGAATAGGCAAATGAAATATCAGTCGGTTGCTACAATCACGTGAAGAATAATATCAGTAGAAAAAAGCTAAATAAGGTAACCATTAAGTTTAATCCATGCAACTAACTTGTTCGTTTATGTCATCGACTAACAGTCGCAACGCCTTACGAATGGAAGAAAAAATTTTCGGTTGCTGAGTTGTAAGTAAACCAACTTTTTCCAAATTAATAAGTGTGGGTAGGTACTCATAGCCGTAAGCCTATTGTGAAAGGAATGTCCAATACTAAATATTAATATTCACTAAGCGCCAAGTAACCGATTTATTCGTCGTTATGAACAAAGCTCTTACAAGTCTTTAAAATAACAAACCTGTAAGATTTCTTTACAATAAAACTCGAACAGTTTGGGCTTTAGTCCATTACTTACGAGAGATTGTAAGCAAATCAAACGTAAGACCTTTCAATTAAAATTAAAATTTACAATAAATTGTCAATAGCTAATAATATAATTTGAGAAAATAAAATACTCGGGGATAAATAAGGGATGTTGAACTTAAAGACTAACCTTTGTAATTGGCTGACCAGTCGCTAAAAGTTCTTCAATATACATGTTTATTTTATCAATATCGACAGTAGCAATCATTTCTAGAAATAAATAATTGAATATCAAATCACTGTACATGACACAGAATCAGAATTTGAAATGAATATTACCTTGTTCAAATTGTAACTTGTCTCGAAATGCTGAATCATCTGTGATTTTTTTTAACATTTCTGCAATTGTGGTATCTAAATGAAATAGAATTTTCTAAGGCATCGGTTTCGCTTTCAACAAAACTCGAAGTGAGTTATAAAGGCAATTATGTTGTACGTACGATTGGCTAATGACTTTTTAGCCGCTTGAATCGAAGGCAGTTTAGTCACAAATTGTTTAATTTGGTTAACACTTACTGCATCATGTCGTTCCTAGGAGTAAAAACATATCCATTTACTTTTCACGCAAGTTAAATAAGGTCAAATGGATTTGCTTACGGCATAAGCTGCGCTAATCTTTTTGGCCTGCCTACTCAATATTGGCGGCACTGCTTGAAAGTTTAAATCGCGAATTTCAGCGTATAGATTATCTCCAGAATTAAGCCTCACGGTTTGACGAATTGCTGCTGATTGAGTATCTTCCTCAGGATTAGCAGAACCATGATCCCGTTGTTTCAGTAATTCTCCAGGAAATTTTGCTTTAAAGAAGATTAAATTATTTACTTACATTATGTACTTTAGATATTTCAATTTAAAGAGAAATCGTAGAAGTCGATTACAGTAGATACGTACTACACTTTAATCCAACATGCTCATCAATCAATCCTTCATATGTTAACTGCGATAATACTGGTGTAATAAGATCTACTGTTCGATCAACCAAAATTAGACGACTGATTTGAGATTTTGTTTGATCATCTGGTCCACTTGTTTCTTTTCTCATTCGAACAATCATATTTGCTACACGCTATTAATATTCGCAATGCAATGTTACACAAGAGCAATGAAAGACATATTAGACTATTGATTGGATGCACTTTGAAAAGCGATTAGCTACAGAGTTCGAAATGGTCAAAATAGCTAATACTATAATTACAGCATACTTACTTTTCCGCAGTTACCCTTATAAATTATTTTAGGGATTGTACCGAAAATTGTTTGTAAGATCATCAGCGATCTCGCCACATAATATAAAGATGAGTAATCCTCCTCCAAATGACACTCACGGAAGGCTAATTCCAACTCAAGAGACATTAAATCGTAATCAAATAGCAGAAGGAGTAAATTGAATTCTCCGATGACCTCGAAGTCTGCAAAAACTTCTAGCTCCTGTGATTTGATGTAAAAATAGGACAGAACGGGGACAATAAATATATAATCGGCAGCTTTACCTAGGTTCATTAATATACTCGTATGTAGCTGAGATAAATTAGGAGGAGGCAATGTGGACCTTAATTTAACAATATGAAATACTCGTGTATTGAAATAGTTTCACGAGCGTGCCATCGTATACAAAGTAGTGCAGCAACTATTTTGGTAAGCCTAACTTAAGGGACAAATCGCCAATAGATATTGCACAATTATTATACAGGCGATTCCTCAGACTAATCAATTATTTTTAATTGCTCTCATGTATTAATATAATCTAAATCAGAGAATCAAATGAATGATTCTAGTTATAATTGTGCATTTGCTAATACATTATAGAAAGTTTAAATGCATAAGTACCTTTAATTTATCTTCACATAACAAACTCTTTCTCGGAACAAAAAACAGGCTAAATTTGACATCGTACTTAGTTCTTGATTTCTTCATTTCACTTTAGGTAAAGTGGAAAATAAAGATTACACGAGTAATGAAAAATTAAGAAATTTTAATTGATAGCATTTACTTACCTAGCAACATTTTCAGCAACCCACTTCATTAAGGATAACTTGGGTCGAGTGAAAAAGATAATATTTTGTTGATCATGAGGTGGCAAACGTCCAGGCGCCAAAGGGAACATTTTGCGCACTTCTAATTCCTAATTTAGAGATATACTTGATTCAGAAGCTTTGTTTAAATCCCTATTTTTACACGTAAGACCTTTCCTATCAATAACATTTGAATCAGAATAACGAGATCCTAAACTGATCGCTTTTAGGCTAGTGTCGCGAGTGCATGCAAAAATGGTATAGCAAAGAATTTAGTATGAACTATACTGACCACATTACAGTACAAGCTTTTGCTGATTACTATGACAATTTTGTACTCGTTTTGTGGCTATTCGATCGTGCTTTTTACGCTTCTACATTTAGTAACAATGTAGATCAAATCTTTTACTAGTATTGAAGTATGTTTTAGTACATGAGAACATAGCATTATCTAGGAATTGCATAGCAAACCTGTAATAGTGAAAATTCGGCAACCAAATCTAGTGGATCAAAGAGATATTCATCCCAGACAACTGTCTATTAATACCATAATATAAAGTTGGTCAGTAGAATTGACAACTTGCATACCTAGTCACAATATGTAAGACTATCCTTCATTTTGAAAGGCCAATAGTATTATAGTCCATTCTCTTAACAAACATCATTGGCTATATGAACTACAGATACGCTACTCCTTGTACATGTAGGTTATCATTCATTCATGATCAGTCAATATACATTAGCATGGTACAGTATATCAAAGAAGACATTGAAAACACCAGTCAATTATGATGACCTACTTCAGAAGCAACACCTAACCAATTTCGACGTGAAATACAGTAGCACAATCGACGCTTGCTAACAAGAATTACTTTGCTACTACTATACCTTTGAACCAGGACATTGCCTTAAGCATTCGCTTAACTCTCTACGAGAAGCATCTCGTACAATGCCTAGATTTACTCTTCCGCTGGTACTTAGATGTGCGAATGAAGAATTAGTAGCCATGATTATCCGTCAAGAATAATATCTCTATTAATCAACAGGACTTGCTAGTCTTTGGATGATGATCCTTGGTGTTTTGTTGGCAATCTTCAAGTTATCCCTTTCTTGGACCATCCTTTAGCTTAGCGTACTGTACCGTGCTGTACTGTACCGTACGTGCGGTTCACTACAGTGCCGACTGCGTATAGTACTGTAAGGTACAGTGCATAGTACTTACTCTACAGTGCGGTGTACTGTAACCTGTTTCTTCAATACACCGTAACTGGAGTAAGAAAACGCTCCAAAATATCTCACAAGTCCATGATAAAAACCATGCGTTTGCGATCCATTTCCTACAAATTGATGCAAAAATCGCCATATTGAATGCAAGGGATCGCGTTGTACTGTACACAGCAGTACAAACACATATTTTTCTCTTTTCTGCTACTGCACTGTACTTTTCTCTGTAAATCTGTGACAATTTGAATCTGTCTATTAGTACTCCTACTGTAGATCGAAGCTGTCTCTTGAATACGTCACAAGTTAGAACCATTAGACTGGACACTGGACAGTGGACGCTGGATTCGGATGGTCGGACATTTCGACGTCATATTCCGGGCATTGCAGTGTAAATATGATGTCATTCATGAAGCCGGATGCTCGATCCTGTAAGTTGCTTATTCTGCTAAATTAGGTAATACTATATTGAAATCTATTTTACCAAGTTTTGCTTAAAAGCAGTTGCTGTATACTATGTCTAAAATGTTTCTGAATGAGTAGAAGTGATTAAGAAAAATAGATACAGAAGATCCATATTAAGTTTAATATACGCGTGTATGTCATATATACTCGTGTTAATAACTCATTCTTCGATATTTTGGCCGTATTTGTACATCTAGTAGCACCTGCTGTACGGCCCCGCCAAGAGCATGCCTTCTCTCTCTTCAATTCTTTGCTGAAAATATTGAACTGCTGTACAGTATACAGCAGTTCCATTCATCAATAAGTCTTAGTGAGGAAAAACGCTTTACTGTCTGAAAATTAAATTGCATTAATGTTTATTGTGGTACTCTTCTACGTTACTGCAATTCAAACAAGAAAATATTCTAGCTAAAAATGAGTCTAAAATGTCGGATTATAACAGCGGCAATAGAATACATAAAGCATCATAAATCGTAGTAACAACGGTATGGGCAAATAGTCAATTACTCGGGATTTTGGGTAATAATACACTCGAGTACAGTCATTAGCAATTTATCAAATATGGTATATAAATTACTATAGAACGGCTTGGGTCCACAATTCAATTCTTCGGGATTTGGGGTAGTAATGCACCCGAGTACAATCACTAACAATTTACCAAATGTGCTATAAATTACTATATAAGCACGATGACGACAATTGTAAAAGTATTATTTCAAGTTGAAAGTAAACTTGTGACACTACTGACTTTTTAATGATATTTAATTTTCTATATTCTAGTGGCTTACCATACCATGTAAAGTAACTAATTTAACTAATAGCGATTAAACATTAGTAGCGGAGTCTTCAGGTCTATCTAGAAAGAATGCAGTAGAATTTCATGATAAATCTTGCCGATAAGTTAATTATGCTATATAGCATTATTACACGCGTCAAAAGAAAGATTTAAACTGGTATTCTATTAAATATAATTTCTTACTATCAACCTAGCATGAAGACGCTTTATTAACGTCGAAAGTAAGCTTAATTGAAGCACCGAATAATCAGATTTAACGTCGTAAATTCTTTCTCATTATCAAGTCACTACAAAATATTTTCAAAAGAATAGCAGGTACTTTGTTAGTGAGAGATAATACGTTGTAAAACAATTTTTACGTAAAATGTGTCGTCTTTGATATAACGCCGATCTTGTAATACTTTATGAGATACAAATGTTGAACTACCAAAACTTAAATTAGCGTCGTTTTCTGGTCTAGAAAAGAATTTAGCATTCGCTGCAGTATATTCAGGTATAATGCTATAAGAAATATTTTCCCTGTCTGATACATTATCGCTTTGATCAACAAGTTCAAAAGTTGTCTTGTATTCATATGGCCAAGACAAAACTCCATCATATTCACCCTTAAGTAAATGAACAAAGATAGATACATGCGTCGATTTACCATTGCCATCACCATTTGGATACATTAATGCGCATAATTTATAGCCATGTCGGTGGCTATAAAAAGGATCGCTTATTAAGATAGAGTGACTTTTCGAATGTCGAGCATTATCCAACTTCTGGCTGAATTTATTAATTCTCCAAACATAGCTAGTATCCATTGATTTCTTTAATTCCATTATCTTTTTACATTGGTCTGCGATTATTTCATGCTGTTGAGCAACTTTATCTCTTTGCCTATCTAATAAGGATTTTAATAGTATCAGATGATTAATCGCATCTTTACGAAAATGTTTTTTCATGCTTCCTCTTTCAGCCTTGAATATGATATAGGGATAATTAAAGGTTTTAAATGTTACATAAGTCGCATATTTTGTTTCGATTAATAGTAAATAGTGAATATTACTTTTTACTTTGAAAAAGAAGATTAAAATTCTAATTAAATTATTGCATAATCGCAAAAGTTCTGTCGTACCCTATAATTACAGCCATCTTTCTGAAACGGGCAATCAACAATGACATACTGGCATTGCGAGTCAATATGTTCTTGCAACTAAGGAACGGCCAAGTTAGTAAAAATACACCATAACTAGATGGACTATCATAAAGTTATACCTTTCCACGAGGTACTTCATCGCATTCATGATCGATGGGACACTGGACAGGAAATTCATCGCATTGATCCCAGTGAGACTACATTTTATTCCGTGATTACAACAATATCGTCTACGATTAATCCTTATGCAATCTCGTATCTGCGAAATAATACACGCATTAAACCTATCCATATTGAAATATATGTAAATTACTTCCATATTCCTTGCTTCTATTCTGTTTTCGCAAAATTGGCATCGGATGATTCTATATTGACAATGATTTTGTACGTGATCATCCAAGCTGCAATCATTGATTCTCTCGCCACAGTTGTGGGGACATTGGATACTTTGAAATTTGCATTCGTCAGATAAATGCCTCTTTTAGATAAGTAACAGGAAACAGATTAATACTTATAAAAGTCGACTTTTGCCATATTGTAAAGAAATGATAAGGTACTTTAGATAAGTAATCAATCAATCGTGATCAAGATGAATCTCTAAACTGGAATCGAGACTGATTGGTATCACTTGATAACTGAATGTTAAAGTCTGGCATTGTAAGGTGGTGATATGATACCGAAGTTACCTGAAATTGATTATAAGTGCCCTGCCACACACAACCTATATTCCTATTTGCACACTGTACTTGTAGCTTTGCTATTCGTTGTTGTAATTCCGTATCAACTTCACACTATCAGTTTCATATATTTCATACATGGTATGACCAATACGATAGAAAAAGGATAAAAGACTTTGTTACATTAATATTAAATAAATATGATTAATTTAATCTACACTTAAGTAAGTAATAACGAAATTAAATTTATAGCGATAGTTTTCTAACTTCCTCTTCCACAATGTTTATTCCATCGACAGGACACTGTTGGCGATCTCTGTTTATTAAACAATTTTCTATGAGATAACATGAAAAACTATCGTAATAACTTATGCTCATGTCTGAAATAAACTTACTGCATAGGCCATTAGTATCATTTATCAGGGACTTCTCGATTTTTTACGTGTGGTAAAAATTGAGAAGTCCCTGTACTTATCATTAAAACTGACACCATATAGCGCTCAAAATCAATATTTTTTAATGTTTATTACATTTCTTTAAACAATAAAAATTAGCGAATCGCTTGGAGACTAAATACAAAATTGATACTCCCTCAGGTATAAAATCATCAAGTTTCATTGGATGTCGTATAGCACTACGGCTGGAAGGCTCATTAATGCATATAGTATAAAAATTGTAATTTCAGAAGAAAGTAAAATTTTGGATAGGTTTATATACAATTTGTTCTATACTATAATTAAAATAATTACAATGAAGAATTGAAAGAATACTACTGTATAAATTAAGGGTAAGTATTTGAAACCTAATAATTACATACGCATATGTCACAGTCTCATGGTAATAATTACCTAAGAAGTTGTTGCAAACAGCTTTTACAGGAACTGTGATCACAAGATGAAAACAGGAATGGCTCAGTCATAACTTCATTGCAAACGGGACAAATATAGACTTTCTTCAGCTTGTTAACGAAATACGGACGACATTCCATTTTTTGCTTTTTACTCGCGGATATAATTATATTATTGATAAAGATTATGCTGAAAATGTTATGATATGAATCTGCATCGATTTTATCCACCGTAACGCTGATGAAACCCTATTCAACTATGGTAGACACAATGAACATAAATTCTAACGCTAGTAGTAATTCTTGAAAAGCTAGTATGCATCAAATAAAATGTAAAGCATAAAATCACCCAATTATGCATGCTGTACGCTGGCGTAAAAGTTCGATCATTGTCATAGATACATTTAATTTCTTTTACTTAAATTTTTTTATTTAGTATACCTATTCAAAGGTTCCTTAGTTGCGTATTAATATTTAATAAGGTAACTAAGTACTATTATTATTGCTGAATGAGGCTTATCATGACATCATTAATGAATTTTAAAAAATTAATTTATACAATAAGTGCCTATACTTGTAGATTATGTAACTAGCTAACTCTATAAGTATATATGTAGCTCTTGATACAGTATTTCACCTTACTAATGTACTGGTCTACTTTATTTGTTTCACTATTTCGAATTTTCTCTATATCATTAAATAACGAATGATGTATCACCTACGGATAATGGAATAGAAACAGTTATTCACGATAAACACTAAAAGTGCTTGCCCTAAATATTGGACGTTTGGTTATTTATTCCATGTATTAAGGTTCCACCGCTTACCTATGACATATTAAATTTTTCTAGTTCCAATGTTGCTTTTACAACTTACACTTTACATGGATAGCCAAAATTTATTAGAGAAAATGGTCCTGAAATCGAATTCATCCTTTCCCAATAGGCCTCAATCGTAATCACTCGTTCATTTACAATTTTGCTTAGAGCGAACTTTCGTCAAAGCACTACAGATTCTTAGATGGTATCTAATTGAAGATATTGTACATTACTGTATTCTACAATTGCTTTCTAGTCACTAAAATTTTCACTATTTTATTGTTGGCCCATAGGGGTATATCTAGAAGTTATAGTTAGGGATCAATAACTGAAAGTGTTATCGCTAGAATATACACAATATCATTCTTTGTATTAAGAAAATTGTAATGTCAGGAGCATGTGTACTGCTGCATAATGTAGTCCTCAAAGATTAACTTTCATGAGATCCATTCTGCTTCAATGAGCGGGTATAAGCTAGTACAAGTAATAAAAAATAATAAAAGAACGACTGGAGTGCGTCTGTGACTACGAAGGCATAAATATTAATTGTAAATATCGATCTATACGATGTTGCTATCAGTAATATCCGTATTAAATAATAACGAATTATAGTTTGTTAAAAAAATCAGGCTTTACCAATCAAAGAAGTAAATTTGTTTGTTTCATAGAGAATCTAACATCATTAACATTGAATACTATAGCATCAGGTACCTCTTCAATTAACCTTTGCAGGACCAACATTTAGTTTAATTTATTTTCAATTCACAGCTTACTGCAGCTTGGGCAATACCAACGTCAATAACGTCAAAGAGAATTAAAGATTACGATCAAATTGAATTATTTAGTATACGAAGGTGTGATAATGAAAGTTCTATAAAAATAATAATTGACGATACTATATACCATACTTTATCACGGGGTATTTTCTCCTAACTGATTTCTTTTGAAATGCATTGAGGCCGATACGGCTACATTCAAGGACAAAAATTGAGCCTGAAGCAATATTTACGTCGATAATTATAATGATGCCCACCGTGAAAATAGAAATTGAAATAGGACTTTTTGTTATAGTTATTAGTCATTACTGATGTTGCTTTCGTGACACTTTTTGTGGCCTTTGCGAATGTAGTCGTATCCCATCTACACTCTCTAGTACTTCATGAATTAAAATTACACTTTTATTGCAATAGTAGTAGATTTCGATTCAAATATGAGCTCAATGTAACTTACTTGGCAGAATAGTCTGTGGCTATGAATATTTGTGGCTTTTTATCGTTCAGATAGATATCGCATTATAAGCAAGTATAAAATTAAACTGTAACGCCTAAAAGGAAGATAATATCAGTCAAATTAATAACTCAACTACCTTGCCTAAGAGTTCAACTAGCATTTAACCTAAGAGGCCATGACTTAAATTTATGCTGGGGATAAAGAGTCGGAATCAGAGCACGCAGAAGGTTCCCAAAAGCTTAAATTACAGGCTGTCTATTTTGAAATCTTATGTAATGTAAAACACCAGAATAATAAATTACAGACTGTCCTGGATGCCACACTTAATATTTGACAGTATAGTAGGGTAGTACGACGTATAATCTATCCAATTTTATTATCATACGAATCCTATTCGTCTCTGTATACAGGCACTTGCATATAAACTTTACTTGCATCAGGTTAATGTTATAGGATTACAAATAGATGACTACAGATTTTGGCTCTCGCATGATTCATTTCAGTTAATTTTATGCGCTCAAAGGGCTGGAATGTGCGCAAACGTAACATTGGATATGCATATCAATGTCTTACAGCCAGCTGATAATTGATTATTCTGATGTTTTACATTACATCAGATTTTTAAATAGACAAATTTCAAGTGTCTTGATAACTGCAGTTGCAAATTCATTACTTACAGTAGATTTTACCGTCATTGCATAATCATACTAAAGATTTCTGCAAACCCTCAAATTCTGCATCACGCTAAGGTTATAACGATACCCATTCAGAGTATAATAGATTGAATTTCAGTTCGCGAGTAAAACATGCCTAGATTAAAATCCGATTTTCAAGGAGCTACCATGGACAATTTTATAAGGTATGAAATAATAAAATTTGTTTTCAGTATTATTCTCAAAGTTAGGATAAATTATACTCCCCATACAACTCTGTATTTTAAGACGATTTTGGTTTGCTCACTCTATTAACAGCGATCCTAGGAGGACTGAAATTATTTCAATTGCCGTAAGTAATCTGTCATTGAGAAATCTTACTGACCGGTACAATACAAATCTTTGCAGTCTATTATTATAACTAAACAGGATTAAGTACACACAAGACTAAGAATTGTAACTCTGCGATACTTTTTTCCTTAAACACAAGCGATAATATAGCTTTGTAAACAATATCAGATTCAAATATAGAAAAATTAACGGAAAAATGAAAGTTGTTCTATTTGCTTCAACCCACGCATTTTCACCATCTCAGATTCATTTTTAATGCCGGATAATATTCTCTATGTTATATAAATTAATTTAAGGTATCCTAATAGATATTAGCGCATCCGGTGTTGTGTTTTCTTTTTACAAAATTAAGTCTCAAAGTATAAATTTTACTTAAGTTTTACAATCAATGTATGGTAGCATGCCTTAGAACATCTGAATGTACAACTGTTAATACTTAGTAATACCTAAAATCGGATATCTTTGCGTCTGAAAAGTTAATTGGAAGTTTATACTCTGTCTAAAATAATGCTGCACAGTTAATAAATCGAATATTTATATTATTTAATAAGGAATTAACATTCTTTGAGGATAAAATATATTTACTTTACTTACAGTAGTATCAGATTTCTTTCAGACACAAGCTATAACTTATACTTTGTACCTTTAAATCGTTAAAAGATTTTATTTGTTGCAATGTAAAGCTGATACTTAAACCATTTATGAGTGATTACAGCACGTTAAAGATTGTAGAAACATAAATATATTATTGGAAAGGGTAATATTATTACCCTGAGCATAATATATGCTCTTAATCTCTTTGCCACGAAGTTAGTTATCTAAAATAACTGACTTCAGTATTAATGCTTCAATAGAATGAGCGGTAGATCAGCAGAAATACTGTATATTCAAAAAAAATTCACTCTGCCTTACAATAACATTAAATATGCATAATTGCTTCTATGAATTTACTAGAGATCGACAATTTTGCGATAATGTTAATAATATACAACAATTCTGCAGAAGAAATAACACCAGGAGGAAATTAAGTATTCTAATTTTCTACTGCAAATAATCTTTATCTACTGACCAATATATTAATGCATTCTAATAAATCCACTACAACAAAGGTGTGAGCAGACAGAGTATAAATAGTATCTTTTACGTAATAAATAGTGTATGAGAAACAACATACGATAGATATTCAAATCTAATCTTTCTGTATTCAATCATTTATATTAGAAATCTTAATATAACGCTTTAATCATGATAAAAACTTGATAACAAGTAAAGCATCGATATAGTCTGTGATTATATGTATAAGGTTGAGGTATAATATACGTCCTTAGGCAGGAAAATCTTATGCAATTTCATATTAATTTAGTGCCATCAGCTTGATCTTGGTGTTAGATGTAACTACATCTATCGATGTAAATTAATACCAATGTGGATAGTAATGCAAATACGCTGTAATGTCGTGTTTAAATATGATTAGATTATTTTCACTTTACTGCTGTCCTGCTAACGACGGACAAGAAAACTTGCAGTTAAACTGCATAATCTCACATAGAGGTTGTAAACCGTCCGGTTTAATTTCAGTATTCCTGAATACGGAACTATGACATGTTCTCCGACAGTCTTTATTAAATCGAAGTCGACACGGAAACTTTTCTAATAATTCTAGTCATATAATGATAATGATAATTAAACAAAGTATGAATGAGTACTGATACAAGTACATTTAGGCGTCTAATAAAATGAATATTAATATTAAGCCTTAAACTATATTGTTATAATCATATAATAATTACCTTTAACTTTTATTTTCTTATCAATTTTAAGACGTGCACTATATACTTTCCCTTCAGTGCACCGATCACTTATTTCCGGAATTTCAATAAAAGAGCCGGTATAAGGTTGCAGCGTTACGTAATTGGTCTGCAATAAAGGTCGGTAGGTTACATAGGTTTTAAAATAATTAAAACTTTGTAGTTCTATAAAGTAAATGGGAGCTAATTTCTATCGAGATTTTAAGGGAAGGTAGACTTAAATATTTAGAATCAGCCTGAGAAGTAGATAAAATTTAACTTACCAAGATGGCTGCTAATGTTATTTTCCTTGCCTTGTCTAAGAAATTTACTGTAGACCTGAGCCTATCATATGAAATGAGAATACAAGCTTCACTGTGATTGATTTTAGTTGCGGATATTCCCTATAAAAATAAGAACGTTAACGAAAACAACATGAGATTGTTTATTAAGCCTATTAGGTAACATATATTATCATTTCATAAGCAATAAATTGTTGTCGTTATCGAGATATCATGGGTAGATACACCCGTAATAGTATAAACGCTGTATAAAAGGGTAATGAAGCGACATAAAAATTGCTGATTGTACTGTAGTCTGGGTAAAATAAGTCCACCATTAAGTACTGTACATAGATATAATCGAGTGTCGATATGCATGTGTTTAAAGAGATAATAATTGAGATTATTAGAATAAAGTTTGTAATTTTAAAATTTCCTAGGATGAACCTACTTGTTATTTTAAATTATCAATATTACATTTCCTAATCCTAACAATTTTCATTATCGATGATTTTATAGCTGAATTTGATGAAAGAAATCAATTACCTCCTTTACGGCATTTATTATTAGATTGTTAAACGCATAATTTCTCAAAAGGAGTAAATCTTTATTACTTTACTGAGATATTAATACTACAGGAAGGTCACTATTTCATATTCAAATTATTGTATAGTGTATTATAGTGTTAATATAATCATTACCGAAGGCTCAGAATATTGTTAATGTTAATAACTGAATGTTACATCAAATTGATAAATATGGCAACATGATCAAGCGGCCCAAATTGTAAAAGCATAAATAGTTCGATGTCATGTCTACCATAATTAACGTTAATCGAGCATTGCATCATCTAATACCGGTACCGATAATTATTAATTAACTTTATTACTAAAGATCGAAAATGTACGAATTTACTATCACACTAATGTATCTTTATAAAATAATAGATTTTAGCGGTAATATGTTGATATAAAACGATAATGCAAACTCAATCTTGGTGTTTCAAAAATAAGAAATTAAAAATTAAAACTTTTAAAGGGAACGTATTAGATAAAAACGATAAGCCCATGATTGCATCACTTTTACTTATTTCAGTCAATTGAACATTCTCAAGAAATGTGCCATATAGCATTTTTATAAATTCTTTAAAAAAGTTAAAAATGAACGTTGTTTATGACATCTACTTAGTTATATGCTGAACGAATTAATTAATCCAGGATGCAATTATCTGCAAACAAAAACTGATCCCCCAATTAACCAAAAGTGTTAGTATAGTTTTATCTCATATTCTTGCGCTGTTTCTTATTAGCCCGTAATTTTTTGTCTCACAGGATACTATACTACAAAAACTGTAAGGATCATTTTCTATCAGGCATCACTAATTAAACGTCTATTTCCTCCTCCCACCCACACGTATTGACGTGTCCATATTATGTTGCACAAAGCCAGGCAATTATTTTTCCCTAAAAAACAACGATGAATATCTTAACCCACATGTTGAGATATTTCGGTACTGCTATCGATTAATTATTTTCGGATCACATTAACCACATATGGTCAATATACCTTCGATACGGATGCTACCCTAAGTTTCATTAAGTATGACCCCCAGATTGAAGAAGATACAATAGAAAAATTACTGTCAAAATTTGAGATTGTATTTCATCGGTAAATTCAATCAAAAACGGCTAGGATCAAATGAGATAAATCGCAACATGATAGAATGTATGATACAATCAAATCATTAAGTTTTACGACGGGGGTTTGATCAATCATATGAATAACTTAACCGATGTATATATTGAAAAAGTCACTTCCATTATTTGAGTTATCCGATACTATTGATATTAGCAGTAAATATAATACAAATTTAATAGCATACAGGACAATCGGTTAATTAATTACATAATCCACACATAGTTTCTACTGATGTAAAATAAAAAAATAAACTCTCGTCGTTAAAAATAAGAGATGTTTTGAAACAAACATATGGTAAATAACAGTGTAATTTAAGTCCAAACTTTGAATTTCTTGTAAAAAGAATATACTCTTACGTAAGTATAGCAAATGCATGACTACAATAGGAAATTAACGACTTGCTTAAAATGTTGTAAGCACGTGCATATATAAATGTAATAGCTTTGACGCGGATTTATCATTAAAGAAAGGAGCTTTGTTTGTCACTTATAAGTAGCATGTAATACTGTCGATAAGAAATCCATGAATGACACTGTAGACTTGTGAATAGATGGCAATTACTTAGTTTATTCCTAAACTACTTGCCTGGTTGAAACAGGAATAAAACCATAGTACATCGTTTATCCAATAAAGTAAGAAATAATGATTAGGCTGTACTAACGATTCAACTAATAGAGCAAATACTTACATCCTTATTTACTTCACTTTCGCAAAACTTTGAAGTATGAAAACAATTCTAATTTTGATTTATAGCTTAATATACATGAAAAAACGTAAACGGTTACGATCAGGAAAGAAAGCAATATTCCTTTCAAAGCTAGTAAATGACAGAGGAAGTAAAAATGTCAACTATCCGAAAGGGTGTGCCGATTATTACAACAGAGCTAATCAATTAATGGAATATCTATAAAATGGTAATTGTCCATGAAGTTGTGCGAACAATAATTAAGAATGAAAATTATGATGACTACGTTGCCGGAACCATAACCCTTATGTTTTAATTAAACGGAAATGAAAAATTGTACAGCACTATTATGATGTATGATACCACCCCTTAGCATTATACGGTCTCTATATTTCTGAAGGTAATTTATTAATTATTATTATCAATCCATACAGAAAAGTAACTAGAATCTTGGATAATAAAATAATCTATCTCATTGATAGTTAAATTATTCATTGTACATACATTCTATTTAGTAGTACTGCTTAGTACCGCGCAACGTCGGACGATATAATCAGAAAAAATAAAAAAATAAGCCCTTAGTTATTGTAGGTCTTTATGGAGCAGGTTAAACGTATGAATGCATTAATAAATATAAAGTATTAATATATCTTGTAGATAAATCATTAATCTGATATTAAACCATGTAAATTAAAGATATCATCAAATTGTGCGTTTTGAATATTAATAGGTTAATATCGATACTAGATTTAAACTGAAATCTTTTTGTATTGTATTTCTTTCATTATGCCCTTTAATTTTCACCTTAAAGTCTTATATAGAGAGTAATTGCGCTATTACTTATATATGCGTATTTTAACGATTGGCACAACCAGCAAAATATATCACAAGTACCTATGGTGTGTCGAAATACTATGAGACAAACTCAAACAAATTATTGAAAATGTCACGTACATAAATCCGGTTGATCGTTTTCGATGATTTTATTATCAAACTGTAACAATATCAACCAGACATTAGATCATGAATAATTATGTTGCCTTCATAATAATTGCCTTCAATTAATCTTATATAGCATTACCAGCCATATACAGTAATGAGAATGAAGGTTTCAGAAATAATAATATATGAAATGAATTGATTAATACCTTGAATTAAAATTAAGAATCATGATTTAAGAAATAGTACGTCTGTCTGCTTTAATTATTAGTACTATATCACTATCTGCTTTAATTATAATTACTATATCACGATAATGTATAAAAATAACTTCCTATATCAGCAGATTTTTCGATTGTCTACAACTTAACTCTCGTTTGCTATTGAATATGGATACACTTTGCAATATCAATACGTGTAACAACAACGTCAAATAATAATGAATCTAGGTTATTACGGAAGTGTTATATATGGTAATTACTTCTCTTATGCTGTTTTTACTGTGTTCTTTAACGTGTCAATAAATTGATGATGGCAACCAATATAAAAAGGAGGCATATAATTGTAAGCTGATGAGTACTATAAGAAATTACTCAGTTGTTGTCATGAAGTCCTTGTATGCAGCAGTTACATCGTTGCTACAGAGTCTATCAATTAATGGCTAAGCATTAAGATTTTTATGTGATCCAAGTAGACAAAGACTTCATTGAACACTCTAAAGTCTTAATGGTCAGTAAAAGAACAATAATCTTCTAAGCTATTCAAATTTTTTCTTTTATTGGCTAACGTCGCCTTACTAACCAAGTCTGATCACATTATTAATTAATTATTACAGTAACTGCATACCGCGACTGGTTAAGTACTTATGGTAAAAACTGCTATTAGTATTTTTACCATGACATATTATTTCTTAACTCGCACACTGCTCATAATTTAACTAATAAGCTGATGATATTGTTAAATCAGGTTTCTAATTAGCTTAACTTATACAGATATTTTAAACTTTTAGCTTTTTATGATATTACATGAATTACTTAACTATCTAAATCGAATAAAGGTTTTGTGATTTAGCTCAAATATCATCATTTGGAACGAAACTAGAACAATATCATGCATCAAATGCATTGAGACAAAGAAAGAGAAAAAGACAGTAATTAGATTGATGCTTATATTTTAGAAATTTAATGTATATCATAAGGTCTAAGATTAATTATTCCTACTATAATAATTAGAATTGTTTTTGAAATTATTATATGCTATATTAAAACGATTTCGAAAGAGATTCTAATTCAATAGGAGGTAGTAGGAAAGGGTTATAGTTGCCGATGGATCGAAATCATGTGTACACAAATTTTTAAAATACAATAAATGAGGTTAAAGTTGCCCTAATAAAATCAACTACGTGTTATTCTAAAAATCCAAAGAAGTGTATAAAAAGTCATAAATTAATCTATTACCAGAAAAATGATCATATGAATTAAATATCTTATGAAGTAGTCCATTTAGAAATCGATTGCATAAACTGGAAAGAGTTAACCAAAGATATGAATAATCAAGCGCTATTGAGGAATTCGACGAAAAATGGAAAAATATTTATAATTATTAATTAGATGATCAGAAGCTTACGACAGTAAGTGTGGGCGTTCGATTTACCTTCCTACCTTATGTAAGAAAAATTATTGCCTTCTAGCAAGCTAAAAGTACCAGTAACGTTGATTTTGATATCTTATAAAATCTAAAAGCTATAATTTAAGCTTAAATTGACTCATACACGTAGTCACTAAATTGTTAAAAATCAATAATTTATATTTAGTTATCATCATTCAAGTTCTAATAATGTCTATTTTTACTTAAAATTAACGAGAAGTCAAAAAATTTTGACCGTATGGAGAACTATTGTCTGTTAATGCTATCTTAAATTATAGATGACCCGATCCAATCACCAATATAGAATCAATTTTCTTAAGCAAAAATAAATACCGAATGAAATACAAATTTCACTATGGTAATATATATAAGTACCAATTTTAGTATACAGTTTTAATTGATGACATTATCAATAAAGGCAATGATAGGAAAGTAGCTCCGTTGGCGTATATTGACTTTGATAGTTACTATAAACACGACAGGATTATGAAATATTAATAGGACCGGTACATAAATAATATTGAATAACAAAATAACTTCTGCAGGATAATTTCGACAGAAGTTCTTTCAAGCTAAAATGATACCGTGCATTACACTCTTCCTAAATTAATTCACTTGAAATAAATATTACTAACTATTTACTCTTGCATAAAATTGAAAAAAAATAGATTATAAAGTATGATGATACTTACACTTAAGAATTATTGTTAAAAAGTAAATCATCAGTATTACCCAGCCTATTTTTTTTATCCATAATACCCTCCTCATTTTAAACAGGTGGACATATTTTATAAGTTATTATACAGCGAGATCTCGTGCATCTAAGGCACTTACTCTCGATTTTGCAGTATAGAGCATAATATCTCGTTAACTTAACGACTTTCAAATATGGTTAATTTGCAAGGTAAATAGATGATTAATGTGTACACATTCAAGTACGCATCAATATTAAAAAAAACAAGAAAGACTTACCGTTACGAAGTTGAAATAGGATTCTACCATTAAGTATGGACTCGGTGGTTTCTTATTAGCTAGCACATTATCCGATATAGCTTCTGTTGAGAAGGTATCAGTTTTCGATTCTGCCGTTGGTAAAGCTGTACTACCAATCTGACTATCATTACCGGTAGTATTCGTAGTAGTTAGATTTTGGTCATCAATTTGTTGGCGATATGCAGTCATAGCCAAAATTGTTAATGAATAAGATTGTAATAGGATGATCATTATCCAACTGTTGAAATAAATTGAATTTATCCTTGAGATTATCATTTTCCTTCTTAGTAGCCAAAGTTTTCTTCTTCTTCAATAGCAGAATAAGGCAATCGAGTTGAGTTACACCGACTTAAAAAGCAGCTTATACTGATGGTTGTAATCTCTATAGGTGGCTAATGTTATTGATTATATATGCAAATCCAGGTATATATGTATACATACAGATAGAAAGGGAAGAATGTAGGCGTTACGCGTTACACTGATCTATTAGTGACACAATATGTATAAGTGTAAATAGATTTAGAGGTAGAAAGATTTACGTATATGTAGGTATCTGTGTAAGTATGCAAATAGCATTTAGAGGAAAAACCTAGGCATGTAAGTACTGAGTAGATATATCTCTAGTTGTAAATATAAGAGTATGAGAACTATAAACCTGTCAATTCAAAAGACTGACTACGTTAACGATTTCAAGAGAATGCGGATTTTTAGAGTGATAGCGCCCAATTTATACATCTCGTTGAACAATTCAAAGCTCATTAAAAATTGATACATCATCAAGCATCAGGCCCTATCGACGTGGAGCAATTTTAACAATAATCAACCTCTATGCCCTCTAAAGAAGAGCAATGACTTTGTCATATATAACAATAGTACGTATTAAAGATACGAATTACATTGACAGGTCGAACTTACTTTATCATATAAATAAAATCATATATTATTAGCATAAATAGTTTAAATGATCATGTGATCCGATAGATTAAAAGATATTGAAATGAGTAATAAAAATGAGTAATAGCAATGAGTGATCATGATAATGCTTTTATCGACCATGATAATTTAAACATTAATAACTATATATATTTTAGAATTGATAAATTTGTTATGAAATAAATGAAAAAAGAAAAAAAGTGTTATGTCGTAAGGAGGATTGTAATTAATGGCTATGTGATTGTCTATTTTGTTATTGCGTAATGGAGATCAAGAACAGACGGGTTTTAATCTGGTTGATAAATAATTTCCTGGCTATATTAATCTTAAAAATGATAGGTAACATTTAGAATTCATTTACGTATGCACCTATCAATATCGATTTCAAAGCAGCCGATATTGCTTGGCTTTTATTTACATTTACATTTATACATAGTGCTATACGTAGGCTAACTGATTGTGTAGCTCTGTCTATTCTATGATTCCATTTTTGGAAATAGTAACAAAAAAATATCCATTAAGTAATTATTATACAAAGTATGAAAGGCCATACATAGATGATAATGAATTACAGCAAATTAATGTTTTGTTTTAACAATCTTTTGTTTATTGTATATGTATCATTCATATAGCTATTTATATTTGTCATCATTTTCTAATACAGATCAATCTATCTATCTAAACACTCACTCCTGCATACAGAAATGCTCTATCACGTAAGTGGTGATACTTGTCATTATCGTTGTTGCTTTCTGACTAATGCCTAATATGTAAATCTAGCCTAAATTGGCATGCAACTGCACATAAAACAAATATTCCAATAATGAGTATAAATCTTGATTTCAAGGCGGTAAAATAAATTATAATTAGGAATAAGATAAAACTTTTTTTAATTAATAACCGGCATAAGTACTCCTCTTACTTACGGCTCCGTCGCATATTGATACTTGGCTCATTTATGCACGTATTCAAGACATGTTACGTTAATTATAATAAATAGAAATTTAACCCTCGTCATAAGGTTTCCTAATATGATCATAATTTACTTTGAATAGCTGAATAGTTACGGTGTTTTGCTACAAACAAAAAAGTCTCCTCCAGATGTAGTTATTATTTTCTATTGCTACCGGTTTAAAACTCTAATATGCTAACGTAATTGTTGATCGTAAATTCTTTTATTTTTCTATTCTAGAGTTTTTTACGACTATTCCGCGTTTCCATTGCTAAGGTATTTTATACATGTCAAAAATTTAAATTCATTGCCATCCTACTTCTTTGATTAATATCAGTCAGATGAAATAATCATAGTTATTTACTGTAATTCTATCATGATGTATGTATACGATTAGAAAGTTTTGTATATTACAGGCTTCTTTTCAATGACTGCCCACATTAAATTACATCATTTATTTTATTGATAACCAGCAAAGTCTTATTATTTATATCCGTAGTACAGGAAGAGTCCTAAAGGAGGAAACAGAAGTCATATTACATCTATCAGAAACTGTTTGAACTTTTACTTGTTTTATTGAATTCATGTCTTTGATTATTGCCTCGGAACAGTTGTAGCCTATTTATTATTTTTCTATTTTTTCTTTTGTATCAGTATATTGCTATATTATGAAAGAAAGGGTACCGATATCCTACTTAGATAATATTATACAACCACCTATTAATAATACAGTACAAATGTAAAGCCAAATATAAAGGATAGCTAATGAATCATGCCAATTATTAGATATTTATTCTACGGTAGACTTTCTACTTATTGATAGTTCAAACTTTGCCTCAATACTCTAGATATTTAGTTAATTATGAATTTAAACTCATTTCTTAATAACATAAGACTTGCGATAATTAAAAAGTCATCAAGTTTGATCCTATTAATATTTAGCAATTGATTTATCATATTATGGCTCCATTTTCTGTTGCACACGCAATTTGCTAAGATATCAAAGGAATTACAATCAGAGTCGAGCGTATCATTAACTTGTACCTATCATTTCTTGGAAAGTTATTTATAGCATCGGATAATTGCAAACAGATTGTAAGCCTAAAAAATACTTTATCAGCTTCGTAAAATCATAGTCGATTCTAGTAGGTTAAAGTTATTAATATTTTTACATAGCGTTAAATTAAATTGTAAAAAATTTGACTTCAATAGCATCCATAGAATGAGATCGATTACACTCGTACTCAACGAAGGTAAAGGCGTATCTAATATATAGTCCTTCTTCAGTTTTCAATGATTACTGCATTCTTTTTTTAAATTATACAGAACAGATGATGTAGTAATTAAAACTTTTCTTAATTGTATTGACCTTTAAATATTTAAATACTTAAATATTCCTCGATGATAGTGAAGGAACAAATATTTATCATAAAATTCCAAAAGAAATATTTGCAATAGTACCAATTAGACGGAAGTAACTACGTCATAAAATATAGTGTTAGCTTTTTTAGTCATCTTGATCGGTTTTAATGTTTAAAAATCGTTACCAGTAGCTATAGCATCTATCTAGGAAGAATTTTTACTGTTACGGACATCTTATTCAAAAAATATGTCATCCTGATTGTTCACCTAGCTACGGTTCCTGCGTCATATTACTATACTATATACGAGTACTTTCCTTATATTCATAAGATAGGTAATAAAGAATTGCCTACCTTCATATTAATTAATTTAATTAGAAATAACATAAGCATTATCTTAAAAGTTGTTTCTTGACTGTATTTAGATGATTGCGAAATGTTGCAATTAACGCGAAAATTAGATTTATTAAGATGTTTAAATAAAAAATTCTAACCAATAAGATTGGTGTAATATAAGTCAATACTATTAGAGTAAGGATAGTAATACTTAATACATTACCGGCACTAATATTCTAACTAAATAAGCGTAGATCATAAGAGTACAGTCGACAGGTAAAAGCAATTAATTAATTCATTGTAAGCAAATTCTGAAAAGTAATTTGACATTTTTATATTGTATGCTGTATTTATATTGCATGGAAGGAGAAATATGTGATAAAATGACTATTAGAAAAATTTTAAGGACAAGCAATAAAAGTAATCAGGAAATTATTTTCCATTTTATTATATTACTGTAACTGAATGGATTGCTTTTTCCCAAATGTTTAAACCTTGATCGTACTCTTAAAGGTTTTATTATTAGCGCTTTATATTGCGTTTTTGCATTTCCACTTTGTCTTTATTATAGGCATCATGATGATCATGTCAGTTGACGAGCGCTAAAGAAATTTATTTAGTTAGCTAATTGAGTCTAGATTTTTTATTGACTTTCACGATGTAAAAAGGGTTTAATATCGCAGTAACAGAAATTAAGTAATGTCATAATCATACAAAATATCGTCTCTCTCTAAGTATGATATTTATTAGAGAGAAAAATAATTATTAGGTATATACAAACAAGGCTATGGTGTTGCAATAATAATTAATATGGTGCTTGACGACTATCCTTATTTTATAAAATAAATTTGATTATTGTATTAAACTACCGTATTTACTATAGAGTGATATTTGCGTAACCAGACAGTAAGGAAATAGTAATTACGATGAATTGAATATCATCTGATCACTTCTAAAGTAAATGTTTCAATTACAGGATAGGTAGCACCTAGGTGATCGATAATCGTAAGACATTTCCTCATTGCATTTAGGAATAAAGCCACAGTATAGAGATCGGTCAAGATTATCGAAATGTTACAGTTCCGGAGTGGAAATTTTTTAAGGTCTACTTAGATATATTGTAAAATTACTGAAGCTCTTGCATTTCCAAAACAATTGAATTGTTCCTTTTCAAAGTAGACAGTTACATTCTGTAATAACTTGTAGCTATAGAAAAAAGAGGCTAAATTCACTACCGTATTGAATCACGGATGATCATGGAATAAAAGGATAAAAGATTTTATCAATTCCCATATATAAAAATGTAAAATACGTGAAATACTAGTCTTAAATTTTTGGATAAAATTTATTTTTAACATCTTTTTGATTTCACGAACGTGATCCATCCGGTTCTTTGTCAGATATTACAAGTAGCCCTTATACGCTGTATCATTTTACATAGGATTGAATGATATACTATAGAAATATTTCATATTCTTTAGTAATTACATAATATCAATTCAAAGTAATTGAAAATTTCTAGATATTTTGGATTTAACTTCGTATCCACTCTGTCTGTTCACAAGTGATAATACGAGTTTGTTGTTGTATCTGCAATCAGCTAACTA